CTGCCTTGTCACAATTTGTTTTTTAAGTTTCAGTTCCTTTGTGTCCTTCTGTACATATATCTATTTGCTCAAACATTTGCCATTTCCTAATGGTAAAACATCCAGTATTGTCTTCTCCAGTTTTTTTTCTTGATAGAGAAATATAAAATACAGTTAATATTATAGACTCTACTGTGTCATAGGTTCCCAGAATGTTTTGTGCCATTATATTTTTAACTTCTATTAGATCACTTTGTTTTTTAGACTTCACATATGAGTACGTCATGTGATAAGTGCCTTTCTGTGCTTGGCTTATTTCACTAAACATAATGATCTCCTCTTCCATCGATGGTGTGAACGACAAGATGTCATCATTTGTGTGTGTGTGTGGCGGAGTTGTGTATGCGTGTATCCATTTATTTTTGCATCCATTTATCAGCAGAAAGACACTTAGGTCGTGTGTTATCTCCTCATGGCTGTTGTGAATAGTGCTGCAGTACTGACCGGATGCAGATGTCTTTTTGACAGAGGGACTTCATTTCCCTTGGATATAGACCTAATAGTAGGGCTACTGGATCATAGGATGGTTCTATTTTAGTCTTTGAGGAACTGCTGCATTGTTTTTGGGTGTGACTCTACTAATTTACTTTTCCACAAGGAGTGTGCAAAGGTTCTCCGTTCTTGACATCCTTGCCAACACTTCTTATCATTTGTCTTTTTGAAAATATCCACACCAACTGGAGGTAATGTCTCATTGTAGTTTTGATCTCCGTTTTCCTGATAATTAGGAATTTTTTAATGTGGCTGCTGGCCATTTGCCTTTCCTTCTTTGAGCAATGTCTGTTTAGATCTACTGGCCATTTTTCAATTGTATTTGGTTTTATTACATTGTTTGAATTCCCTACATGCTCTGGTTAGTAATGCCTTCTTGGTTGAATATAGCTTGCAAATATTTTCTGTAATTCTTTAGTTTGTGTTTTCTCTATGTTTTGTTTCCTTTGCTGTGAAGCTCTTTAGTTTGTAGGGCTCTCGTTTACCTATTTCTTGCCTTTGTCTTCTTACTTTTTGTGTTTGATTCAACAGATCCCTTGCATTCCAGTGCCTCAACCTCTCTTGTATTTGTGGAAATTGCAGAGATTCAGATCTTAAATTTCAGTATTTAATCAGTTTGAGTTGATTTGATTTTTCATGTCTTTTTTGTACATGGTGTGAGATAGTGAGCTAGCTTTATTTTTCTGCATGTAGACAGCCAGTTTTCCCAGTACCATTAATTGAAAAAAAAATCCTTTCCCAATGTATGTTTTTAGAAACCTTCAGAGAAATCAGTTGGCTTTAGATATGTGGGTTTACCTCTAGGGTTTTTATTCTGTTCCATTGGTCTGTTTATTCAGAGGCTTATTAGTTTTTATACCAATACTATATTGTTTAAAGCATACTATATTTGTTTTATTTTCAAGATGTCTGTGGATATTTGGGATGCTTTATGGTTCCATACACATTTTAGCAGTGCTTTTTGTACTTCTATGAAAAATAACATTGACATTTTCATACAGATTGCATTGCATCTGTAAGTCATATGGGTAGTAATCACATTTTAATGATATTGAGTCTTGCAATCACTGAACATGGGATATCTTCCCATTTCATTGTGTCCTCTTTAATTTCATCTATCAATGATTTATAGTTTTCATGATGAGATATTTTACTTCTTGCTAGATTTAATCCTAGGTAGGGTTTTTGGTAGTTATTAGAAATGAAGTTGCTTTCTTGATTTCTTTTTGAGATGATCTATTGTAGAATCAATTCTATTGATTTTTACACATCAACATTGTATCCTGAAACTGCTGAATTTGTTACTTCTAACAGCTTTTTGGTGAATGGAGCTTTTGAGGTTTTTGTTTATGTAAGATTGTGTCATCTGCAATCCTTTCCAACTTGAATGACCCTCTCTCTTTTTCTTGCCTGACTGCTCTGGCAAGGACATGGGTACTGTGTTGAATGAAGGTAGTGTAAGTCGGCATCCTTGTCTTATTGCAGATCTGACAGAGAAAGCCTTCAGCTTTAGACCATTCAATATAATGTTGCCTGTTGGCTCCTTATACGTGGTGTTTTTGTTATGCTGAGGAATGTTTTGTCTACACCTAATTTATTCAGAAGTTTTTTTTTAATCATGAATAAATGTTGAATTTTATCAAATAGTTGCTACATCTATTGAGATTATCATATGACTTTTATCTTTCATTGTGATGATGTGGGGTATGTTTAGTGATTTGTATATTTTAACCACTCTTAAATCCCTGGAAAGAATCCTACTTGATCATGGTGACTCATCTTTGTAGGGTGCTATTAGGCTCTGTTTCTGAGCATTTTGGCGAGTCTTTCTATCTATGTTCTTCAAGTCCACCATATGAACTTACGGACTTGTAGTTTTGTTTTTGTTTTTTATTGTCTTTGTCCTGTTTGTTTTAAAGGTAATGCTGGCCTCATAGGATGGGTTTTGAAAATTCTGTTTTCTGGAGCAATTGAACAAAAATTGGTGTTAATTTTTATTTTGTGAAATTCAGCAGTGAAGTCCTTTGCTGGGATCTTTTTAAAGAAAGTGGTCATTTCTTTTTTGAACAATATTTTTTTTTTATTGTAAAAGCAGATTTACAGAGAGACGGAGAGGCACAGAGAAAGATATTCCATCCTCTGGTTCACTCCTCAAGTGGCCACAATGGCCAGAGCTAAGCCAATCCAAAGCCAGAAGCCAGGAGCTTCTTATAGGTTTCAAATATGGGTGCAGGGTCCCAAGGCTTTGGGCTGTCCTGGACTGCTTTCCCAGACCACAAGCAGGAAGCTCAATGGGAAGTGAAACAGCCAGGACATGAACCAATGCATGCAAGGCCAAGACACGAACCACTGGTGCATGCAAGGTGAAGAGTTTAGCCATTAAGACTACTATGCCAGGCTGCTGGAATTGAATACTAGTTCAATCTTGCTACACACTATTGCTCTATGTAAGTATTCTGTTTCTTCACAATTTATTCTTGCCAAGGAATTTGCTCACTTCTAGGTTATCATAGTTGTTACCATATAACTGATCCAGTAATCTCTAATAATCCTTTGTGTTTTTGTGGTGTCAGCCATAATGTCTCCATTTTCACCTCTGATTCTATGGGTTTGAATCTTCTTTTCTTTCCTTTTTCCTAGTCTGGCTACAGGCTTGTCATTTCTCAAAGAACTAGCTCTTCCTTCAATTGATTTTTTAAATAAATCAATTTTTAAAAATCTGTAGGTCATTTGTTTGTGCTGTTTTAGTTTGTATCTGTGTCTAATTTGGGGACTTTTCCATCATTATCTCTTTGAATATGCTTTCTTCATGATTGTCATTCTCAACTCTCTCCTGGACACTTGGCTCTCTTCATGCTGTCCAAACTTTTCCATAAAACTTTTCCATGCTGTCCAACTTTTCTTTATTTCTCTAGAATTGTTTTAATGCTCCAAGTGTATTTTCAAATAGGTTCTTTTTGAGATCTCTGATTCTTCTCTGCTCTCTTCTGTTATTTATGCCTTCTGTTATAATCAGAATTCCACATAGTCTTGAGAGGAGAGACAGAGAGAAGGATATTCCCTCCATTGGTCTCTCTCCAAATGGCCAACAGGTCCAGAGCTGAGCCCATCTGAAGCCAGGAGCCAGCATCTCCAGGTCTTTCTGAGTGCAGGGGCCCAAGGACTAAGGCCATCCTCTCTTTTCTGAGGCTATAAGCAAGGAACTGGATTGGTAGTAGAAATTCCTGAGTCTGTGGAACTGTATCGTGAAACACACACACACACACACACACACACACACACACACACACACGCAAAGATCATCTTAATTGTCATACTAAGGCAACTCAGAATGTATCTTCCCTTTTGTTTTTTTAAGACAAACTAATTTTAAGACCAGTTGGTTGATGAGGGAGCATGTTTATACTGTTGCATCCACTCTATGGTTAAAACAGAATGTTAAATATACCAGTGAAAGTCACCACAAAGTTTTAATTACAATGAGAGGTAACTGACTGACCATCCGGGGCTGACACCCCTTAGCGGAGTGCGGCCCCCAAACAGCACATTTACAGGGTTTTTTAGGGGCAGTTTACGGATGGCTTGCAGTGTAACAGGAGAGGAGGCACTGCTTGTTCCCTGCCTATCTCAGCTGGGCAGCCTGTGCCCATCTCCCCTCCGGTCCAGCAGTCCAGATAACCAGACTCAGGCCTAGACGACATCCGTGAGATAACCCGACTCAGACCTGAATCCCTGGGAACTGGGAGCTATTGGTGCCGAAGGTCTCGTAGGGGTTCAGCCTGCGAGCTTGCAGTCTCATACAGGTTCATAGCCAAGCAAGCAAAGCAGAAGTTACAAAAGTGAAAAGTATTGCAGTTAGCAGTGAGCCATGTTTACTCCATTTTTATTTCAATTGTACAATACCCCCTTTGTACTCTGAAGTGTGATGGATTTATGAGCTGAAACATGCGTGTCTGTGTTAGGTAAGCAACCAAATTTCCAATTTGCTATTGGAACATAAAAGAAAAAAAAAGCTGTCAAAAGGGAAAACAAAGAAACTGGCTTTATTTATAAAAGGGGGAGTGGACCCTTGATGTTCTTGGTGGTGTGGGTGGAATAAGGGATTATCGCTAACAGCTCTGAGAACTCAAACCCCACAAGTTAAGAGTCTGAGAGGCACGGATCCCTCGCATTCCTCCTTTTGCTCCGTGCAGACTGGCGCGGGGAGCGGGACGACGTAGCCCCAGGATTCTGTGGTGTGGGTCCAGGCCTCAGCCCAAGTAACCAGGCCTGCACGCAGGCCGACCCGGGCCAGGTGAGGCGGGTTAGGGTGGGCGAGGGCCTAGCAGCCCCTAGGGCACGGCCAGGGCGGGCGCCTCGGGCGACTCCTCCTCCAGGGAGGCGGTGTCTCCGCCTGGCCCGCGTCCGGGCCTCACCGCCCCCTTCCGCCCCCTTCCCCCGGCTCCTCGAGTTCCCCCGCCATTTGATTTTGGCCGCCGGCCCCCAAGGCTCGGGTGGCGCGGAGCGAGGCCCAGAGGAGGGATGCGGCCGCCCCTGGGGCCCTGGTGGCCGCTGCTCTGGCTGCCGCCCCTGACCCCACTGCCCGCGGGCGGCGTGCGCGGGGAGGAGGCGGCGGCGTTGTCAGGTAACCCCGGGCTCGGGGCAAGGCGCGCACCGGCTCGGCCGGCCGGGGGTGGGCGCTCTCGGTCTCTCTTCCTGGGTCACCCCGGTCACCCCGCGCGCGTGGGCGCTGGCAGAGCTGGCAGCCTTCCCGCCTGTCGGGCTTCGCTGGCATCTCTGCTGGCAGTGGGACATTGCCTGATGTTAGGTTCAGAAGCAGAGGCACACAGTCGGGCCCAGCTCCCTCATAGCGCAGAAGCAGCCGAGGCCCGGAGACGGTTTGGTTTGTACAGGATCACACAGCTAGTCCCGGTCGGGGAGCATCGGTTCCTTTGGACTGTAGGAGCTTCCGGTTTTAGCTGGACCCGGGTTCTGCTGTCTCTGAGCACTGGTAAAACTGGTTGCTTGTAAAATGCAGGAAAGATTCGAGACTGTTGTGTTTCCGGCAAGCATAGCGCAGGAAACAAGTGGTGGCTGCTGTGGAGTGCTCTGGAGGCCATGACATGCAAAGGGGATTCAGAAAATGCGAGCTTTGACTGCAGAACCCTCTACTAATTTTACCGTGAACTTAACATTTCCTGTTTCACTCCTGGATTCCCCCATAAAGTGCCTGAAAGCTTTCCTGGAGGCACTCTTTGTCAGAGTCACTGAGTGGAGGTCTGTGGAGTGCTTACCACGTGCCAGGCAGTGTTGCCAGTGCTTGAACTGCATCATCTGCCCTGTTTAATGTTCCTGGAAGCCTTTTTAGGGGAAGGTACACTGTATAATTGTGGAAACAAAAGCCGAATAAATATTACTGGTAAAAAAGCAAAAAAACAAAGCAATTATCTCTAAGAAGTGTTTTTAGACATGACAACAAAATTAGGAAATGAAATGTCATCTGAGCCCCTGGTTTCTTGTTCGCCCACTTCTTTCTGCACCCTCGGTGAGGTGCATGGCCTGGCGCCTGGCCTGGCTTCTCTGAGCATTTCGGTTTTCCCCTCTATTTTGTAGATATGCGGAGTCGCCTGCTAAAGGGTTTCAGCCAGGGTCCCCTGAACCCCGAGATCACTTGCAGACACATAGGAATTCCTGTCAGGACTTGGCTTGTTGCTGGGACCTGCAGGTGCCCACCAAGCTGGTCAAGTTCTAGTTCGGTGTGGTATGCTCCTGCCTACCCGTGAGCCAGGAAGCAGCCAGGACCCCATGGTGTGCCAGTGACACTTGTTGCACAGTGGGGAGTAGACCAGGCCTAAGAATCCTTGTGGCTCCAAGAGAGGTTTTATGAGGGAACCCGAGATGGTAGGGTAGTCCCCCCTTACCTATGGGGGATGTGTTCCAAGACCCACAGTGGGTCTCTGAAACCTCAGGTAGAACTATATCCTGGCTCTACCATTTTTGTTCCTGTAGATCCATACCCGTGAAAAAGTTTAATTGATAAATTAGGTGCAGGTAGATATTAACACTGCTAATGATAGAATAAGGACAACAGTATATAGTGGTAAAAGTGGCTTGAGGCTTATGAATTGTTTACTTCTGGAACTTCTCAGCGTTTTCAGACCTTGGTTGGCTATACATGCCTGGATAAAGACAATGAAATCACAGGTAAAAGGGGACTGCTGTATTTCCTTCTGTAAAAGAGGGCCGCTTTGTAACAGCTTGGATTGGCTGATCCAGAAGGCCCTTCCTGTTTTGTAGGTCTCTGTTGTACACACACAGGAAGAGAGGACATTGGTCCGAGATCAGCTTCCAGTTATCTTGTTTAAGGACAGTTAGAGGCACTTGGCACAGGAGGGGCACAAGGTGGTCTAGCTGACAGGAAGGGGCACTTGCAGCTTAGAGTCATCCATCATTTGCAGCTCGTCGGTGAAGTCCCTAGAAAACCATGTGTTTGCCTGAGGTTCACTTCATGCCAGTAGTTTCCCAAGCATGAAGCAGCAATAGGCCCTTTCAAATCCACAGGCTTCAGAATTGTCTATTGCAAAGAAAAATCTGCTTACCATTATAATCAGATTTCACTATGCATCAGTCTGTGTTAATTTCAGTTTCATTCTCATGTTCTTGGGAGAAGCAAAAATCAAGATTCAGGTTAAAACACTTTGCTTAGCAGAATGGGGAAGTTAGCTTTGTAACTTTGTACTTTTGCTGCTGTATGCTAATATCTCTGAAAATAGGAATTTAAAAGAAAAAGAACTGCAAGAAAACTAACTTTATTTGAAACTCCTTGATTCCATTTAGGATCTCACAAGTTAAGGTTCACCAGTTTTTGGTTTGTTTTTCCTGCTCTTCCTCTCCTCCCTTGTCCCCAAAGCAAAATAGTCATGTCAAATGGAGAAATTAGCAGCATATTTTTAAGGACATTATATTCTGATTATCTTGTAGTTTCATTTGAAGATAAAATCTTTCCATATAAGGACTGTGTATGGCTAACATTTTGAAAGGAACACAGGTGAAAAATTTTTGTATTAAAAGTGACTTTAAGATCCACTTAAGATTTAAGAAGCCTTTGTGCTTTGTAGTATATTCTGCAAGTCCGTTTTAAGTACTTCCTGCTCTCCTCTGAAGTTTTGATTGAATATTTTTTTTCAAGATTGGTAATTTTTGTTTCTTAAGATTTATTTATTTCTATTGGAAAGGCAAATCTACAGAGAAACATAAAGATCTTCCATCTGCTAGTTTACCCCCCAAACAGCTGCAATGGTCGGAGCTGAGCTGGTCCGAAACCAGGAGCCAGGAGCTCCTTCTGGGTCTCCCATGTGGATGCAGGGTCCCAAGGCTTTGCACCTTCCTCCACTACTTCTCCAGGGTATAAGCAAGAAGCTCGATAGGAGGGGGAGCATCCAGGACATGAATCAGCACCCACTTAGGATGCTGGCGCTTACAGGAGGAACATTAACCAGTTGAGCCTTCATGCTGGCCCCGATGGAATATTTTTACTAAATATTTGATTATCAAACTCATTAACTTAAATATAGACATGCACATTTGGGAAAACTAAATGACAGCAACAAAAACCATACAAGGAAGCAGCTTTAAAAATTAGTTAACTGCATCAAGTGCAGTGTATACCAATGTAACTTTATCTTCAGGAAGTAATAGTTAGACTTTATGTGTACTGTGTTTTTTCTTATGCATCCATATACATATAAAGTTTATAGAGTAGACACAGAAATCATCAACAGAAGTAAAATAGAACAATTGTAATAACGGACTGTAATGACAGTTCTTTAAAAGTTAGGAATTGTTGATTTCTATAGTTTGCCATTGAGTTTTGCTTTTGGACTGTAGTTGGTGACTGAAACTATAGGAAGTGAAACCAGGTGAGGGGGAACTGCTATAATCCTAAAATTAGATTAGTTGAGTATTTGTAAAAAGGGGTATGCAAAGTGAACCAAGGGATCTGCTTTGTCTAGTAAGGCAGCCCTGACCTTTGGTGATAAAATTAATGCCACAGGTACTTGTCCTAACAGTTAAGACATAACAGCAAAAAATATGCTGATCTCCAAAAGCTGTGTTTCTTGGGAGGATTGAGAGCCTGCTAAGGATGGCCAGGAGTTAAAGGGCAGTGCTCATGGTGGGGCTTACAGACCAGTCTCACCTCAGAAACCATAGGCCGCTGTGGAGAACTGCAGTGGGGACCCTGTTGGCAACATGCTTTCAGTAGCATGCCTGTGGTTATCTCTATAGGCACCACGGCCTCCCTCCAGCCGTGCTTTCCCTAACCAGGATCAGCACTGCAGGAAGATGTAAGGCAAGCCCTTGTGCCCAGGATGGACTGAGGCACCCTTAGGAGTACTGTGGTTCATGTGTGTCCACAGACGTTCCTGTGCTTCAGGATCCATCTCCATTGGGCAGGATGGAAGTAGCAGAACCAGGAAGAGATAGGGCCTAGTGGAAGGTTAGCAGGTCATAGGGACACCCCTCTCAAAAAGAGTTCAGGCTGGTGTGATAGCATAGCCATTGAAGTCCTCACCTTGAACGCACTGGGATCCCATATGGGTGCAGGTTCTAATCCCAGCAGCTCCACTTCCCATCCAGCTCCCTGCCTGTGGCCTGGGAAAGCAGTGGAGGACGGCCCAAGGCTTTGGGACCCTGCACCCATGTGGGAGACCTGGAGGAAGAAGTTTCTGGCTCCTGACTTTGGATCAGTGTAGCATAGGCCTTTGCAGTCACCTGGGGAGTGAATCAGTAGATGGAAGATCTTCCTCTCTCTGTCTTTCCTCCTCTCTGTATATCTGAATTTGCAATAAAAAAATAAAATAAATCTTAAAAAAAAGAAAAAAAAGGAATCCATGCAAGTCTCATGGTACTAGACTATCTCTCTCCCCCCTCCCACCACTGCCCAGATTATAAAGGGAACCTGGTCCCTTCCCCAGCCCTTGTTCTGCAGGAACCGCTCTTTGGTGCAGGTGCTCCTGCCTGCTGTCCGAAGGCCATCTACCTTGAGGCCTGCACCCAGACTGATCAGATGCCAGAGCTGTGTCCTTGAACCTCTAGAAGTACAAGTGAAGCAAATCTTCTTAAATAAATAAAGGACTTGGGGGTGGTGGTTCTTGCATCAAGAGAACACGAACCCATGAATTAAACGAACAAACTTTTGGCTCCTTCTTTCCTCCTCCCACCCTCCTCTGCCTCTTCCCCGTGGCATATTAAGGGTTACAGCACTCAGCCCTCTAATTAAAGGTGTGTGGATGCTAGGGTGGGGTGGGGCTGTAGTCTGTGGCTTCCAGAATGGATCTTAGGCTGTGAGGAGATGGCAAGGGTTCAGGCTGGAGAGGATGTCCTCTTAATTCTAGGGATTTTAAGGAAAGGGCTGATGTGTATCTCCTTTTATGGTGCAGACTGGCAGCAGCCAGGCTCAGAGTTTCACTGAGCTCTCAACTGACTAGGGTAGCATGCCAGGGCAAGCCACTGAACCTCTCAGATGGCAGCATGTGTGGCGTGCATGCACACACACACAGCGTTTAAAGATAAATATTTAAATGAGGCTAAAATAATGAATCTGGAAGGTCTCTAACTCACAGAGAGATGGTATAGACTAATAAATGCCTGTGGAATATAAGGAGTAAAGCATAGCCAGAAGAAAGCTGAGAGCACTTGGGTGCCCAAATTCACACAGTGGATCCAAGAAGCCTTCATGAGAGGGTGAAATTTGAGCAAATACAACAGTCATTAGAAGGCACAAGCTCTGGAGAAAGAAGGATAAAACTTGAGGTTTAACACAGGTGGAGGCTGGGATCTTGAAGACAGGAGGGTTAATGTGACTGGAGCGCTGGAGAGAGGGGAGGAAAGATGTGGGGGGTCACCGAGGGGCTCCGGTGCTTGGGTGGGGTTGGGGTTCTGGCTCAGTGTGGTCAGGAGACTTGTGAGCAGGTGAATAATGCTGTGTGGTGGATCCTTTGGAAAGGTCCAGATGCTGACTGGAGAAAAGGTTGTGCGAGCGGGGATTGTGAGGCACAGTGGAAAGTGGAGAGACTAACAGGAAGGCTGTCACAGTGTCCCACCTGCAAGATGCCTGTGTGTTGGCTAACAGAGCAACATTTACTCCTGAATGCATGAAAATTGCATTATCTTGCTGTTAAGAACTATAGTTACCAAATGATTTAGGAGAAAGTCTTAAGAGCAAATGGACAAAAGCTTCCTTTGGAGCTAGGATTTGGTTGCAAACCCCAGGTTCAACAAAGAAGACATTCCTGCAGATTGCTAATGAAAGAGACCGTTCTGTGGGAGCCAACTGTGGGAGCCAACTTGGTTAGCAGGGCCACTTCAGAGAGGTGGCACCCACAGGGAAGCCACCTGAGCCTCGGGGCTTTGCGGCTGGGAGTGAACCTTCTCAGGCCACTACTGCCCTGGGTACGTCCGGGGTGATGGGGAGAGCCTCTTGCATGGAGGACTCCAAGTATGCAGGTCACCCAGTTTTCCCTGGGTCTTGCTGAGAGGCCCACAGGACTTGGCAGAAGCAGCATGTGGGCTCCCAGAAGGCAAGTCCAGAGACCTACCCCCCACTTCTGCTGGTTTATTTTCATGTGCTTATCCAGGTCCCACGCTGCCTTCAGCATTTCCTCTTTTCCATAGCTGGCTGCCAGCCTTGCCCTCTCAGAAATGCCCCTTCCCTAATGCTACTGTTGGCCAGGAAGATGTGTCTGCATTGCTTGCTTTGTATTTGTAACATTGATTTTGCATTCTGCTTTGGGCTCTTATGTATGAACAGACCATGCAGGAACACTTTGTTCTCTCCCTTTCTTCCATTTGCTCGTTCACCTCCCAAATGGCCCCAGCAGCCAGGTATAGGCCAGCCAGAAACCGGACCACCATCCTAGTCTCTCATATGGGTGGCAGAGGCCCAAAACTTGGGTCATTAACTGCCGCCGTCCCAGCTCATTAGCAGGGAGCTGCATAGGAAGCAGAGGCGCCAGGGCTCAACCCCAGGCAACCTGACAAGAGGTTCAGAGGCCTCCTCAGTGGCGTTTTAACTCACTGTGCTGCAGCACCTGCCCTGTTGATAATTTAAAGCATGTGCATTTCCTCAGAACTGAATAAGATGAAATGATATGATTGTCACAGTGGAATGCATTGATCCTTGTATAATTTTCCTGGGCTATATTACCACCTGGGAACCCTGACACTTAAAGCAGTTTGCGTTTCATGTGGTGAGGGTTCCTGGGATCCTTTCCTGAAGTCTGCCTTTCACTTTTCTCCAACGTAGTAACAAGAACATTTCAAGTCAGGGCAGGGACTGAAACTGAGCTTACTCAGTATTATTCTTTAAATGGATGTAATTGTTGACTATTTATTGCTTGTTTCCCAATCCATCCCCGGTGTTGGCCTACCAGGTTGTGTTCCAGCTTGATTTCAGATTTTTCTGGAGAAGCATTTCAGCACACTTTCCTTAGAGTTGTCAGTAGAGTGTAAGGCTGTGTCTGCGTGCATCCATGCACGTTTCCGGTTTCTGTCTTGCATTGAGGAGTACTTGAGACTTTCATCCCATTTCATTTCAAGTTGTAGCTGCAGAGGACCATATATTAAGTGGAAAATTCCAGAAATTATTCATTTTGGATTATACATCTTTCTGAGTACCATGATGAAATCTCACACCATCCTGCTGTGTTCTGTGTTGGACGTAAGTAATCCTTTTGTCCAGTATATCCAAGCTATATGTCCTATCCTCCTGTTAGGCACTTATAGCCATCCAGGTTATCAGCTGTCACTGTTTCATAGTGTTTGTGTGTTCAACTCTTTGTTTTACTTCCTTATGGCCCCAAAATACCAGAGTAGAGACTGAGAGGAGGCACCCAGGCATCAAAGTGTGGTACTGCAGGCATCAACTTTGGTACTGCATGGCCATGCTTCATAGCATGGGGGAAAAACATGTACAGGGCTTGGTACCATCCACAGTTTCAGGCATTATAGCCATGGAGCGTGTCTCTCATTCCTAAGGGAAACTACTTTCCCCTCAGCAGCTTGCTGCTTCTCCAGTTATTTCTTACCTGGTTGAAAAGCCTGACTCTCCACTGACTCACTGGAAACCTTCATGTCATCTTCTCCTTCATCAAAGGGATCTTTAAAGCGTGTTAGTCTTACTTCCAAAGTGCTCCTGCACCTGTTCTCTCTCCCGCCTCGCTCATCTCACTTCTTGCTTGGATTTCTGTAGGCTCCTTTGTGGTTCACCCGGAACTCCCCATTGCTCACTACATGCTCTTTTCTAACAGACACATGTGTTCCTATCACTTGCTTCTGCCTGGGCAACTCCCATTGTTTGTTTGTTTTTCCTACAGATGCATTGTCCGCCCTTCCATTCCCTTGCCTAGAGCCTAGGCAGCTGGCCTCCACAGACTGCATCATCTAGACTTCTTTGCCCTTGGTTTTCCTCTTGGTTTGGCTAAGGCGGCACACTGCCAGGTCTGCTCCCCACATCTTCCTCCACATTCCTCCCAAGTTCTGGCAGTGACTTAAGCCACCAGAGCACTGCGCCCCCCACTCCTATAGCTCTAGTAATGGGCACTCCTCCCGTGGTCATTTGGAGCCTAAAGGTGTCAAATGCTTCCTGCCCACATCTTTGTTGCAGTTTTCAGCTAAGCCATTTTCTGAGTGTCAGCTGTAATTGTTGTGTGCTCTGATTTTAGGCTGATGGCCACATTGGTTAAGCAGCAGTGACCCTTGCTCAGCTCTCCCCATGCTAGTGTCCCTCACTGCAGTTTGGCCTCCTCACCAGCAGTAGTCAGGTGTTACTACACTGAACCACCCATGATCTCTCTGACCTCTGCCGCACACATGTGCCCCCCAACCCCGACTTCCATCTCATCGTCTTCTGCTTAACCTCTGCTCCCCAACTCCTGTTTCATCCTTGCTGGGAAGGAGGCCCGGTGTCAGCGTGTCCTGTACTTCAATTCTGAAAGAGTATATTCTCTCTGTTCTTGGGAAACACTGGACTGTAATATTTTATCTGTTACAGGTTAAAAAGTACGTAGACTGTTATTACTAGGTAGAAGAAGTATTTCCTATGTGTTATTACTTCCCTATGAGTTTTTAAAAAAAAGGAAATTCTTTGCAGATTAACTGTTAAGGAAATTATTCTATTTTCCAACTTTCAGTTTCAAAGTGCACAATGTTAAAGGAGATAGATTCAATTAAAACTTTTCAGTCAAATTGTTACTGCTACAATCAACATTCCCAAATGGAGTGGACAGCTATTTGGTCAACTGTGCAGGTAAGGTTACTTTTTTTCTTAAGATTAATTCTTTTTGGGGAGAGGGGAGAAAGGCAGATTTATAGCTAAAGAAGAAGAGACAGAGAGTGGTCATCTGTCCACTGATTCAGTCCGCAAATGGCCGCGACAGCCAGAGCTGGGCTGGTTTAAAGTTGGGGGGTGGACGAGCTTCTTCTAGATCACCTACATAGGTGCTGCTTCTAGATCACCCAAGTACTTGGACCACCTGCTGCTGCTTTACCTAGGCATACTAACAGGAAGCTGGATTGGAAGTGGAGCAGTCAGCATTCGAACTGGCACCCATATGCACCACAGTTGGAGGCTTAACCTACTATATCCAGGTGCCAGCCTCATAAGATTACTTTTAAATCACATCTGAGGAAACTAAAATATTTCAAGAGAAGGGAAAGTCTCTGGTGTGATGTGGAACAGAGTGTCAGGATGGATGCTAATGTGAGGATCTGAGGAGTAGTGTGGTAAAATGTGTGGGGAGATTACTTCCTGCCTACTCTTCAGCCTCTCCCCAGACCACCTCAAGTGAATATGAGTTCAGGAGATCGTAGCGTGCAGCGTGCTCCTGTCTCAACTACAACGCAAGATAACACTCACTCAGCTGCTTTCTGAAATAATTGCATCTCAAGTTCTTACGTGTCAACCTTGTGGAGCAGCCATGATGCCGGTTGCTGTCAGTAGCCCAGGCCTCTGCTTCATTGAACATCTAGTGAATGTTTAGTGAGCACCTCCTATGTGCCAGGGACCACTCTAGGCTGTTAGGATCTATAAATGAACAAAACAGATCCCTGCCCTTGTGGACATTCACATTATTGGGGTGGAGAATAGCAAGCGGAAAATGCAATGAAGATGACAAAGCAAATGTGCACTATGAAAATGGAAAATGTTAAGTAAGGTAAGTAGGACAAGAAGACATTTGAGACAGATTCTGATGAAATGAGCAAGTTACCTCAGGGAGAAATCTGGGAAAAAAGAGTGCTAGGCTGAGGGAACAGATGGGCCCTTGTAGGAGCGAGGTGGATTTGGACCTTACTGGTAAGGCATACCATGTGGGGCCCTTGGTAGGGTGGTATTGGTTAGGTTTTTCCACTGTAAACTTCACTGTTTTCCCTTTAGTGAGTATTTTGGGAAAATGATTTGAGATGCCCATATCCAATTCCTCATCAAATTTTCACCCTCTAGACTCATCGTCTATCGGTGGTGCTTATTTTAATCAGCTGTCACCATAAAGCTTATCAATGGTGATTTTTTAAAAAATTCCTTTATTCTGTGCTGATTGACATTCTTCTATAAGGAAACATTTCTTCCTCTTGTTTATATAAATCCGCATTATCTCATGAATTGTTAATTTATTCAGTGGACAGCCTAATGCTCGCAAAATTTATTTTGACACTCAAATCGTTCTATATTTGTCCGGTAGGAACTCCTTCAAGCTAACCCCTGTGTCCTCTTAACTTGTGCCTGTCATTTTTGATCACTTATTCATGCTCTAATAAATCCAGGCATTCCAAGTTCATGTTGTAGTTTCCTAGCTCCAGCTATAAAACCCTACATTTTGCAAGGAGTATTCAGCATTAGGTGTGTTCCTTATTAACTGGTATGTCACTGCCATGTGTTTATCCACTCACAAAACTACATACATATCTGTTTCCATCTATCAAAAACCAAGGTTCCAATATCTGCAATAACAAAGGAGTTCATGCTAATCTTCCACTTTTTGGTGTCTAACTCCATTCTCTAATAGTGAGAAATCTGGTTCCCATTATTCTCAAGGTATGTATGTGTTTGTTTGCCTAGTCCTGGAATGTAGTGAAAGTGGCTTCAGAATTGCTAAGTCATACAGTTGTGAAAGACGAACCTGGAAGCAGGAACTCAGTATTTGTTTACACTGTTTATCTTCTATGTGACCATGGCTGGTCTGAATACTGTGCCCAGAGGTTCCCTGAGTGAACTGATTCCCAGGCCACAGCCTGCCCTTTAGTATAGTCTGATTAGTGATTCAACATGTAGTTGGTTTTAGTTGTTTTCATTTCAGGCTTTCTTCCTGTCCTGGTTGATGCTATCACCACAATTTCTGAGTAAATATAAAACTGAGGTGGCAAAGTCTGAACTCTAAAGGTATTTTCAGGTATTCTTTCACTCCCCCTCATCCCTTCTTTGAATTCCTACCCCACCTTTGTTGGGAGTCCATCTCAGCAGTTTCTGGTGGATTGTTCCTGTATGTCTACTGATGACAGCAGGTGGTGAAGCATGCAGGTGGGACTTGCAGCTGTGAGACTAAGGAATAATTGTAGATGGAGAGACCCAGAAGGACCTGGAAGAGCAGGGAGAGAAGAACTGGCCTGAAAGTTCAGGGAAGAGAGTGTAACAAAGAAAAGAGAGCTGTTGGTATGTTACACAGCATGACTGAGGATTCATTGGATGTTTGAGTTAGCAACATGGAGACTGAGGTGCCCTTGCCAAGGGCAGCCTGTTGGGGACAGAAGCCTAATCGTAGTGGGCTGATGAGAGAACAGAGGGAGAGGAACTGGGGACTGGAGTGTTGGGAACTTTTTAACGGAATTTTGTTGCAAGGAACTGGAAAAAAATGGGGGTAACTGGTGGGGCAAAGGGAGTCCTTGTAAGATTGTGTGTGTGTGTGTGTGTGCACGCGCACATTTTTGATGGGAAAAATATCTTTGTTAAGTGGGGGAAATATCAGTATATTCTGATAGGAATGATCTAGCAGAGGGAAAACATGTGGATGGGATGTCCTTGAGCAGAGGTTGATGGAATCCAGTGCACAAACTGGGGGCCGGCCTTTAAAGGAGAATGTAAGTTTCCTCCATGGCAGGAATGTTCTCTCCACAGGCAGGAAACAGGGCTCATGTCTACAGATGTGAGCAGGTGGATGGATATAGGCATAGCAGCCAGCCTACATTTCTTGCTGATTTCTTCCTTTTTGGTGAGTAGGAAGACTTTTTGGCCATAAGTAAGGATGGAATGGGTACTGGAGAGTCTAAGAAGGAGAAGTTGTAATGTCGTTTGTGGAGAGTAGATGGACAGGAATGTGTGACACAAATGATTGCAGCTTTCAAGTCTCACTTCAGGTCCACAGTCTGGACTTAACAAGTGAAGCCACTGTGCATGTCTGTAGCACAGTGAGTGGCACAAATGCCAGAGTGGAATACTTAGAGTTGGATTTTTTTTTCAGTGAGATTGACAAAGCAAGAGAAGTCCAAGGGACTCCAGACTCCTGCATGTGGATAATGCAGCACTGAGCATGGAGTTGAGCTGTGTAGGAAGGGATGGAAGACATGAAGAGGGTGAGGAACAGGGGAGGGCTACTCAGACCCTGAGCAAGATCAGAATGCTGAGAGGATGTGCTGGTCATGTAGGCAGGGTGTCAGCCAGTGCAGGAAGTACTGTGGGGACGGGTGGCAGTTTGGTAGAGAGCGTGGCCAAGGCAGTATTTGGCGGAAGGGTATAGGGTGAGAGCACACAGAGAGTTCTGGGGCCTGGGGAGTTAGAGCACTAGGAGGAGTTTTGGTATGTAGACTCTATAGGTTAAAAATCCCCAAGAAGAATGACAAAGGTACAGCTGTGTGCCTGGAACCCAAGTCCAAGAGAATTGAGGGTTTGGTGGGCGACACTTCCTGGTGACAGAGTCTAAACTAGTGCCTTCACTCCACTGTAGACTTATTCTACTGTGGGGCAAAGAGAAGGAATGTTAGGAGGCACAGCCAGGAGTGGCATCAGTGCTTGCTGACCATGGAGTTGTCACCATCTGCTGGTAGCTGTCAGTGGTTGTATAGCTGGTATAAGAGCCAAGGCTGGGATCTGGTCCTTCTTCAACAAGCATGGTCAGAGAAGCCTGAGCTATGTACAGAATCAGCTAGTCCACAAGGAAGCATTTTTCCTTCATTTTAATACACGTTGGTACAGACAGAGACCCTGTTTTCATTATGTTTGAAACTGAATAGTTTGCCACGCTAGCATGGAGGCTTAGCAGGCTGATCCTCAGCCTGTAGCTTTTGCACTCCATATGGGTGCTGGTTTGGGTCCCAGCTGCTACAGTTCTGATATGGTTCCCTGCCTGTGCCTGGGAAAGCAGTGGAGGATGGCTGTAGCTTTGGACCCCTTCACCCATGTGGGCTCCCTGGAAGAAGCTTCCGTTTCCTGGCTTCAGGTCATCAGCTCAGTTCTGACAGTTGCAGCCATCTGGGGAGTGAACCAGCAGATGGGAAAATCTCTATCTCCGTCTCTGCGTATAAATCTGCTTCTCAAGTAAAAATTTTTTTTTTTGTAAAGATTTATTTATTTTTATTGCGAAGTCGGATACACAGAGATGAGGAGAGACAGAGAGCCAGACCATTTGTCAATGATTCATTCCCCAAGTGGACCAGAAACAGCCGAGATGCTCTGCCTATCAGAAAACTTCCTCCAGGGTCAACCACGCTGGTGCAGGGGGCACTAGGCTTTGGGCTATCTCCAAGCTTTCCCAGGCCACAAGGAGGAGCTGGATGGGAAGTGGAGCTAGCCAGAACTAGAAGGGGCCATTGGGTTCTGGGTTCATTCAAGGTGAGAACTTTAGCTGTTTGGCCATGAGTACCGGGCCCAACTTAGAACTTTTAAGTCATGGTCATTTTTATATCTAATTTGCAGAGGATCTTTTCATGAAGTTTTTTTTATTCTTTTTTTTCGATTTATTGATTCTTGATTACTTCACAATTCCTTATGCAGAGATACAGGTTTGTTTGGGGTTGAAAATAATAGTACTGTTTCAGATTGACCATCAATTTATAACAACCACTTCAACAACAACACTAACAACGTCGACAAACAAAGTATAATCACCTGATAAAATGTTAAACCATTGAATAGCAACACATGCTGACAAAAAGGAACACACAGAAAATCTCTCGGGAAAAATGATGCCATCATATACTTCATAAGCACATGATGGAATTCAATACTAGAGAATAAAGTTATTTGAAGCAAACCAAATGAAGTAAAAACATCAAAAAAACCGATAGATTGGACTGTTGGAGGTACGCTTTCCATGTTGGCTTCCTATATGAGAGAGAATATATGGTATTTGTTCTTTTGGTGTTGACTCATTTTCATCAGCATAATTGTTTCTAGTTGGGGTCACTGTTGAAATAGAATAATTTGTTTTTCTTATAGCTGCATAATATTCATGGTGTAGATTTTTTTTTTTTTTTATACCCAGTTTCTTAACCACTCTTTCCTTGGACGCACATTGGTTTGCTTCACGTATTTGCTATTTTAGATTGTTGTGCTATAAATATTGAATTACAGATCCCTTTCACAGCAGATTCACTCCTTTTGGGTATATTTAGGAGGGGATGCTGGGTCATATGGCGGTTTATGCATTTTTCCAGCCACTCCATACTAATTTCCATAGTGGTTGTACTAGCCTACACTCCCACCAGCAGTGAAGGAGGGTACCTTTCTCAAGTAAAAATTTAAACATGAATCTTTAAAAAGTAGTTTGTCATCTATTCACTTTCTATCTCCTCCTTCTGTATGTATCTCTTGCCCACAGTAACGTGCTAGTACAGAGCTCAGCTCCGGGGAAGGAACGTGTTCTTTCGGGGGCTTCTGTGGCCCGGCGTATGTTTGGACTGAGATGCAGACCCACGGGATCAAACCCAGGGTTGGAACGTGACCATGCATGTCGGAGTGTCTGTCCTCAGCCAGTCTCCTCTGCGCAAATCTAGAAACTGCTTAAAGGAAATGTGTCCTTCTCTGCTCATGGATTTCCCTGTTTTTGTTTTGTAGGTGAAAATTACTAGTCCAGGCCTGTTCACCATTGTGTATATCACAGAAAGCCATCATTGCCAGTATCCAGAAACCATTCTTTCTTTTACCAAATGTGTGATTCATAACTTTTGGGCACCAAAGGAATCTAATGATGTGACCATAATCATCCATCCGTATGTGGAGATGGCGTGTTTCTCTGTGAAGCCTGCTGGGGAGATGCTGGCCTACAAGATAAGTGTGAAACGAAACAGTGAGTCTGTGTTTATTGTACTCAACTTTTTAGATTCAGTGTTTCTGATGTGACATTTTAATAAATCAACTTTTCTTTCACCAACATTACATTGACACAAAATATTTGTTGTGTGTCTTTTTTTACTCCAGTTGTAGATTTCAAACTCTTGCTTGCATGTGTGGTGGGCGTTTTTATGTTCTTCCGCGCAAAGGTCTTGAGTCAGTAAGTATACATTTTTACCTTCTTTGTGAATCAAAAGGAGAGTACAGGAACCAGCGTGTAGCACACCAGATCAAGCTGCAGCCTGTGACACCGGCATCCTCTATGGGACTACCACTGAGATCCCATTTCCTGTGGAGCTTCCTGCTAATATGCATGGGAATGCAGCACATGATGGCCCAAATGTTTGGAGCCCTGCCGCCTGTGTGGGAGACCTAACTGGAGTTCATGGATCCCGACTTCAGCCTGGTCCAGCTTGGGCTGTTGCAGCCATTTGGGAAGTGAAGCATCTTATGGAAGAGCATTCTGTGTCTCTTTCTCTTTGGCTCTGCCTTTTAAGTAAATAAATCTTTAAAAGTAATTGTGGGAGTATAGATCACTTTGACCCTAGGCTAAATGTTTTTATACAAATGTATAGCTCTTGTTTCAAGTTTCTCAGATACTGGATCTGAGGATTGTGCTTGGAAGATCTCGAAGCAGGAGCGGTTATCTGTAGAGCATGATAGTCCAAGTTACACAATGCTTTCGCGCACATTGTTTCATTTTATGTCTCAGCCCATCATCACACAGCTGGTTATCAGCTGAACTGAGATGTGCACACAGCCTTTTAAATGCCAGGTGCCTTGCTCTGTATTCTGTTAGAGCTGCCTCACAGATATGTGGCTCTGGGCCAGAAGCTAAACTCAATAACTGACTCTTGGATAAACATTCTGATGTCTAGTTTCTTGCTGTTTTTGTCTTGAAAACACACACACACATACAATACTTCATAATATTTTATTTGCTTATGCTAGTTATAACCCAACATTTATCAGCTGTCTTTGAAAAACGTGTTGTATCTATTTGAAAGGCACTGGGAGAGAGAGGGATAATGAGAGAGATTTCCTATTCAGTGGTTCACTCTCCAGAGGCCTGCAACAGCCAAAGCTGGGAATTCCATGGGTAGCAGGCATCAACATCTTGAGCCATCACCTGCTGTACCCTTCAGGGGACACATTAGCAGGAATGGGGAACAGAGCTGGGACTTTGAACCCAAGTACTCTGGTTTGGGAGGCAGGCATCTCAGTTGACATCCAAACCATCACTCCAGACAACCTGCCCCATTGTCATCTATTCTCAGTGTTGTGCATTATTAAGCTTTTCCTTATAGTGCATGTGTTAGGGAACCTTTTTTCTGCCAAGGACATTTTGAACATTAGAACATCACTTGCAGGCCATTCAAAATTATTAACTTAAAACTTAGCATGCTATCTATCTATAGAATTTCAAGTCTCACCTATGGTTACCTTGGTAGGGCCAAACTGAATGTTCTTGTGTACCTTGTATGTCCTACTGGACAGGTACTCCTCACTCTATGTATGTTGAATGTCATCCATGGGCCTCTAAACCAGACAGACCAGGCAATGGGTACATAGCACGAATAGTAAAGTTTGGACTCAGAATTCCAAATTCTGAAATCCAGAATCCTCCAGTTAGTAGATAACTGGCTTGAGGAAGGTCCTGTAACTTCTTAGTGAGTTAGTTTCCTCCTTTCTAAAACATAAGTGGAGGCAGGGGAAAGGGGAATGTGGCTTATTTGACGGCTGTTATAAAAGCCATGAAAATACCTGCTGTGTGATTCGTTCTCAGCAATTATTGCTGGATTAGATTCTGAATCTAGAAGGTAACACAGGCATTCTGTTTTGAGTTAGTGGCAAGGTATTTACCATAAACTTGAGTACTTGAGTACTGATTTAGTTTTTAAGAGTACACTCACAGTATGTAATTTCAACTGCATCTGAGGTTTTTTTCCTTTTTGGCTATTGTCACCAGACTAAATCATGTGTTTCATATTGACAGTGCTCCTTGGCAGCTCAATGATTTCTGTGTGCTTATCTTAACAGGAGTCCTGTTTTCTATTACTCTTCGGGGACTGTGCTAGGTGTTCTAATGCCATTAGTCTTCATCCTGCTCTGGGGCAAAAGGTACATCCCAAAGGTAAGCATGCTATGTGCAAATGAATAAAAAGTAGAAACTGTGATTCCACAGACATGGCTCACTAATCAAGATCAATTAGCGTACTGCAGTTTCCGGTACAGAGTGTGTTCCTCTCTCTATTCGAACTGGTTTCCAGTGCTCGCTTCGGCAGCACATATACTAAAATCGAACTGGTTTCCAGTGTGTTGGTGTCTTGATTTTGTTCTGTTTTTTGGAGATTTGCTTTTATTATTATATGTAGGTCTGAGTATTACATTTTGGGGATACTTTTTGTTTTCCTCTGGTTTCATGTGTCTTGCTTCTGAGTGGCAAGAAGCTGAGTCTGTGTGGAGTTTCTGTTACCTTGACAAGCCTAGGAACCTCAGGTTACTGACCTTCGAAGCCTTAAATAAGAGAATTGCTACATCTTGGGTTTTCTCTGTTCCTATTATTAGCTCCCCAACAGACTGTGAATTAAATCATGTTCTAGACTTAGTTTAGAACAAATAAATAAATCACATAGTAAAAACAATCATCAACTGATTAAAGCTTGCCACACGCCAGCATTATTTTTGCAATAGTTCTTTTCTTCATGGCCGTGATTCAACCTTAACATCCACACCAGCCCCTTGGGGTAGCTTGTCACCATTCAAGTTTGGTTGAGCAAGGGGCAGCTCCTGGGCAAGCTGGAGCCTGCATCCTGTGGACCGTCTGGTGAGGCTCGGCTTTGTAGAGAGTTCCTTAGGTCCAGTTCAGAGTGATGGGAGTTTCTCAAGCCAGGGGTTTATTTGCTTGCTGCTGTTTTTGACAATGAACAAACAAACAAAAAAAATTGTATCATTTATTTTCTTCCACACACAGTATAGCACCTTTTGGGCTCTAATGGTTGGTTGTTGGTTTGCTTCAGTTTATGTTGTGTACCAATTGATGGAAGATATGAACTGGCTGTGGTATGAAAACAGAATATTTGTATTAGGTAGGTAAATTTTCTAACAGTATGTTCTGTTATTGGTAAATCTGAAGAGTGCCACTAGAGACCTTCTTTTGACATCTGTTTCTCTTTGGTATCTCAATTTCGGTTTTTGGAACTAAAAGGAAGTGCTGTTATAATATTGTGTTTTATTTGCAGAAGCTGGTGATTTTAGCTATTTGAAACTTTGTGTTCAATTATTTTCTACTATAGCATCTTCTGTAGCTTTTTATACTTGTGCTCAAAATAGCAAAAAAAAAAAGAAGATATTAACTGCACATGCTTCTGAATTGGGAATAAGCTGTACCATATCTAACTTATAATGTAAAAGTTACTGTAAAGTGTGGCCTTTAGCTTCTTCATATTCAGTGTAAAGGTGAGAAATCCTAAAAATAGATGATTAATGAAAAAGTGACGTTTCAGAAAGGGTCTGAGAAAGCATTCGTTTTCCTTTTGTTTTTGAGACGAAAATTTTATTTTGTCCACTGCTTAGAAGCAAAGCGAGTGAAAATTAAAGTGTAACATGCACATCAGTGGATGTTCCAAAGTAAAAGTAATAACAGTGAAATATTTGCATAAAAATTCATCAAAAGCACAAAACAATGGCACTTTATGAAGAAAAGCTGTGAGTTAAATGTAAAAACACTTTTATGTTTAAATTTAAAACATTGAAAGTTCTTATCCTTGATCTAAAATGAATTTTGATTAGTTTTGATCTAAAATTTTTACATTCTCCAGAACAGTAATACTTGCTTCTGCTCATTATTTGGCGTATTCTTAGAAAATATTTAAAAAATTAGTTTATTTTAATTAGGAAATAATGACCTTGGCAGAATGAATTTTCCCCCAACTTTTAGGACCAAGTTCCTCTTTTTTTTTTTTCCTACTTAAAGAACTTGTTTTAAGTTTATTTTTCTTTTTATGTTAGTTTTCTTCCAAAAGTAATTACAGGTATCATGTACGTTACAAAGAATACTTCAGGATTCATTTCTTTTCTTTCTTTTTCTTCTTTTCTTTTCTTTTCTTTTTTTTGAAAGAAAAGGAAGGGGAGAAAGAGGAAGAGAAAGGTGTTCCATCTGCTGATATATTGCCCAGCAGACTATGACAGTGGACCTGAGCCAGGCTGAGGCCAGGGGCCAGGGGTGGCCAGAGCCCAAACACATGCCATCTTGTGCTGCTTTTCCCAGGTGCATTAGTGTGGAGTCGGAAAGTGGCACGGCTGGGATGTGAATGAGCACCAGCATGCGATGTTCATCTTGCAATTTGAGGCTCTACCTGCCATGCCACAAAGCCAGCTCACATGATTCATTTCTAAAAAGCAAGAGCGTTGGTGGGCGGGGGGTGGTGCTGGATAAAGACGCCAGCATGCCGTATGAACACCGGTTTGAGCCCTGGCTGCTCTACTTCTGATCCAGTTCCCCGCTAGTATGTCAGGGAAATCAAAGGAGGGTGGCACTTGGACACCTACCATCCCCAGAGACCCAGCTGGGATTCCTGTCTCTGGCTTTGGCCTCGCCTAATCTGAGCTTCAATGGCTATTTGGCAATTGAACCAGCAGATGTAAGATATCTCTCTCTTTCTCTCTCTCTCTCTTTCTCATCTGTCTCCCTCTCTCTGTGAAGCACTCTCCCTTTTAAATAACTGGACTAAAATATATGAAAATAAAGGCAAGAGCATTTTCCTGTACAATCATCAAATATTAAATTAAAAAATCATCTGTTCTCCAGGCCATATCAAGATTTCTCACTCATCCTTGATGATTAGTTTTTATGAACCAGGGTATAGTCCAGAACCACATTTTGCAACTGTGGGTCCCTTTAAATCTGTAACAATGCCTGTTTTCCGCACAGCGATGTGCTGAAGGGGCCAAGTTCACTGTCCTGTAGGATGCGTGCTAGAATCTTCATGGCCAGAGACCGAATGTTTTACAATTCATCCATGAGGAACAGGGAGACTAAATTGCAGATTGTCATTTAAAAAAAAATTCTTATTCCTGACCAAGGTAGTATTTTTCTATCTAGACCAGTTCTGGCTGACATTGTTTACCTTCTTCTGCTTTCCCAGGCTACGTCCTGACATCCGGACCTTGCAGCTTTGCCGTCTGTTACAGACACGGCCCACTCACTGACAGCAGGAGCCTGCTGATGTGGACACTGCGGTTCCTGTCCCTGGCTCTCATATATGCTGGCATGGCCATGCCTCAGATAGCCTACACACTCATGGTCCTTCTTGTGTCCTTCCGCTATTGGGGCTACCCATTGAGAGCCTTCAGCTATATCCGCTGGTGCGTATCTTCTGTTGTGGTTGTTGGAGCGCTGGTTTTACTAGTTTTGGGGGACGTGAGGAGACATACTGTATTGACGTCATAATCAGTGCAGTGATTTCACTTTGAGGGCAGGGAAGAATTCTGATCCCATCTCCATTTCTAGTGTTTGTTCATCTTTCAGAGGAGCATCAGCAATGACCTTTGTGGAAATCAGTAGCTGAATTACTTGGACTTTTCTACTTTTATTCAACATTGTCATTCTTTAGAGTTTTAGGGGTGATAGTTGGCTCTTAGAAGAATTAGGAAACAAATGAATCGTAAATAATTGGAAAATATTATTCAAGATTTTCTTTTCTCCTAGGTTTCCTGTTAAAGTGTAACTAAGCCCAGAGATAGCATAGAAAGATGAGGTGGCCTCTGCCATCACAGCTGTGTGTTGCCTCTCTGCTGTCACTGAGGCCAGCACCTGTTGGTGTGTCAGGCGCACAGATGGAGGTGATGTCTCCCCTCAGATGTCCTTGCTGAGACACAGGTGTGCGTCTCCATTTCTTATCAGTGTTAGGGTATAGGCTTGCCCAGGACTTGGAGGATGTAAAGAAGGTTTAAGACTACTTTGCTAGAGAAGCTGTTACTGGGGGGAGACTTAAAGATGAATCAAAACAGCCAGAAGAATGGGTGCAGAGGTCTTACCTGACAGGGAGAAAGCCCCTACAGCACTTAGTGATACAGTTGGTGCTATTGCTGCTGCATGGGCAAGGCAGGTCCAGGCCTGTTGCTGGGGCACCAGAGGCAGGATCAGATCTGGTTCCTTCGTGGGGCCTGGGATGCCATTTTGACTTATTTGTTATGCTTCAGCGCCCAGTAGCAGCTCCCGCAGGAAAGCCTTGGTGAACTTTGGATTTATGACTCCTGTCTGAGCTGCATCAGAGAGAGAGTACTTTTTTAAAAGCTGGAAAAGTGAATTAGGATATGAATATGATTTTTAATTGGCAGCTAATCTAATTAGTAATACATCCAACAAACAAACCAGCATCCATGAACACCAGGAGACACCTGTAACACAGCCCAGCCCTCAGTCAACCCAGTGGCCCAGGCAGTAGCCAAGGAGAGCCTGGGGTGAGTCAGGGGACCCAGCACTAGCAGGTACTCAGTCACCTTGTCCTGAGGAAGGAGGTCTGGTGAGTGGTGTGGCCTTGTCCTAAGGCACCAAATGGAGATCGGTGGCAAAGCTGAAAGACAGCAGTGCAGGTCAGAGGAGTTGCCCTCCCTGCTGTGCGTTCCTGTGCTTGCTGTGTGCCTTAGGAGCCAGGATGGACTCTGCCTCCCTCACCTTGCTGTGTCGCTAGTGAACCAGTGTTTGAGGAACTAAGGAATCAAGCAGGAGTCTACAGGTTAAACAGTAAGCCAGAGAAAGAAAATGACTTGATTGTGTGTAGTACGTACTAGTGTGCAAAGAGCTGTTTTGGTGTATTTTAATAATCCATAGTTGTATCATCCTTGTGGGACACACGCACTGTGCCAGCTCCTGTACACAGACTATCTCATCTAATCTGATTGGAGACCTCCTAAGGTGGATAGTCCTGCTCTTGTTCATTTTTTACATGAGCAATGTGGGGCTTAGTGCCCTGGGAGGTGCCCAGTTCACACAAGCCTAGAGCTGGTCTTCTGGCTCAGAGTCCAGGGGTTTCCATCTCGGGACAGCAAGGTGGGCCTTCAGAAAAGGAGAAGGACATGTTAGGGGGCTCCTTGACCCGGCTCGTCAGCCATCACAGAATTGATAAAAGATAAAAGGTTTTTCGATTCCTTCTTCCCCAGGAGTAAATATTTGGGACCTCCTGGTGATTCTGAGTCTGATTTGATGCGTTCAGACTTGGAAACCTGGCTAAATGTAAAACTGCCTCAAAGTGTTTTTTTTAAAGTTCTTTGGCAAGTGTGGTATAAATGGTTTTAAAACCTCAGTATCGTTGTCCTTTTTATGCAGCTCTCAGATTCCTAAATCTTTAGATGCCTACATTTTATGAGATTTGGGGTTTTGTTGGTGGAAAAAATATATATAAGAATTTTCAGTTGTGAACACTCAGCATGTAGTGAAAGAGGAATTATTGTAAATTGTACCTAAAAGACCTTTGTGCAGTAGTTCCTGTTTCTAGGATTAGTCAAAATCCCTGCCACTAGGTGGAACCGACACACTGCAGACGGAGCTGCTAGGCAAGAGTAAGGTGTTTTCAGCTGGCTGTCTGCAGGACATCTGTCTCCAAGGTGGGCTTCTGTTAGCGCCCAGCAAGTTCAGCAAGTCAGGCATGAGGAAGGCAGACTCGGTCATCTGATTGCAGCATTAGAAGCCACCAAGAAAGTTAGAACAAGCAGCACTAATAGAAGTTGATTCTTAGATGTCTCCAGAAATGATTTATGCTGGTTCAGGAAGTAGGGAATGCGTCGTTAGACTGTAAGTTACCTGTTCTGTATACTTTAGTCATGGTAACAATAAAAATGTGTAGCTGTAATATAAAGGGGGTTTTGAAATGCTGCTGTCTGAGAAACATATATTTTTTGTAAAATTTAAGGATTGGATTGGACAGGAAGCTAGCAACCAAATGCTCCATGTTTTCAGGAAAATGAAGGAATGGTTTCAATCGAAAAAGCTGGTGGTGCGGTTTCTTAGCGAAGAGGAGTACAGGGAGCAAGCTGAAGCCGAAACGACCAGTGCCCTGGAGGAGCTGCGCCAAGCCTGCCGCAGAGCTGACTTCCCCTCATGGCTGGCCGTTTCCAAACTCCAGGCTCCGAAAAAGTAAGCCCTGCTCATCCGTTCCAGCCAGAGCCTGGCCGAGGGGTCCCCTGAACATGGGGGGCTTGAGGGCTTGGTACAGGCACCTGGACCTAGACAGTGACTGCTGCCTGCTCAGGCTGGCAGATGGCAGACAGGTGGCCAGGGGAGATTGTGCTTCAGCGTGTGGATGTCAGGATTACCTTTAGTGTGATATTTTGTAAGGAAGGCCTTGGAGATGACTTCCATGTGAGAAGGAAGAAGGGATGGCGTGCATGACCTTGTTTCCCTTTCGGCTGGGACGGAAAATAGTCTTTGTAGAGTTTACTGTGAACGCACGTATGCCCCTGTGTCTTCCCTTCTTCCTAGCTGTGTATATATGGGCTGTCACCCGTGCAAAGATTGAAGGGGCCAAAGTTGTTTGCCGCTAAGATTAACCAAGTAATTCAACTAATATAGCATGGCCAGGAGACAGAACTGGGAAACAGGAGTGGGGATGTTGGGCTGCCCTGGATGCTAGATCTGCTTCTCTCCCCTTTTTCTGAGCAGTAGCTGCCTCAAAGGCGATCACTTAAGCCATTCCCTGTGTTTACACCTGGTGTGTAGATGCCTAGCTCTCCACTAAAGGGGGATCTATAGCAAGGGAAAATGTTATCATTCAAATGAACCTTTCTGTGACAATATTGACTTCATTTCAACCTAACCAACCCTTCACACCTCCCTACCCCACCAATGTCTTAGATTTGCCGAGTTCGTCCTTGGGGCAAGCCACCTGTCGCCTGAAGAGATCCGTCAGCATGAGGAACAGTATGGCCTGGGGGGTGCCTTCCTGGAAGAGCAGCTCTTCAGCCTGCAGGCCGACGGTCTGCCCACGAGCTGACCTGCTGTGCAAGGCAGCCAGGAGGAAGACACAGCTCCTGCCACAGTTGGGTGCAGCTGGTTATAATGGACAGGGACAAAAGCCATCTGCTGTGGAGAACATATGAGCCCCCCACCCCTGAGAAGGTCGTGTGTTGAGGCTCACTCTCCTTGCAGAGGAATATTTCAGTGGGTGGCACAAAGGTTGTGTGTGTCATGACCACTTTCCTTGCATGGAGACTTTCATCAGGAACCAAGGAGCCATGTTCAAAGAGCCAACAACCATGAACATGCACCTTGGCGGCACCAGGACACTCGCACTGTCTTCATTCCCAGAACCTGTGTCACCATGCTGCACTATTCGTCCCACCTTTGATCACCATTGGTGCTCCAAGAGACCTAAGACATTGCTGGACCAGTGTGAACCAAAGACTAGTCCAGAGCCCACCACTGAGTACTAGTGGGATTCTGAGGGAGTCAGTTATTTACAGAATTAAACCTGTATCCTGGAGGACTTTTCAGAGCCTTCAAATGCGCATTGTGTGCTTGGCTTCTGCCTTCATAGGACCAAAGAAGCCTTTTTTTTTCCATGAGGATAATATACCTGGGAACAGGTTTAGAAAATGCCGATGATGGTTTGGTGGCATTGAGGTTTGGGGAGCTTCAGTAACTTGTCCAAGACTGCATGTAAAGGCAGCACGGAATAGAATCCCAGCCCTCTGGAGTGAGAAGAGGTCATCAGATGCAAGCTGAAGGGACTGCAGCCTGGGGTCTCACAATCTTTTTATTTTTTAATAATGTCTAATTAGCCATTTAATAACTGGGATACAGAGAAATATTTCTTAAGATATGTTTTAAATTTTGATATGATTTTTATACATATAAAGATTAGAAACTAATTCCTTTCTTGACTTGTGTTTGTGTGTTAAGTTGGAGCCATTTACCCTCTTGACGTTTACAATAGACATCACCATTATAAATAATTGTATCTATTTGTAACAATTTTCCACCAAACACACTGTGATCTTTTTGCCAGAAAGCAGTTTTTTTTTTTTCTCAATTCATAATACCAGACTCCAGTGGGAGCTTTGACCCTGGGGCAAGGTGGCCAAAGCATAGATCTGAGTAAAGATTTGGGCATGGCAACCCATTCATGAAGTTAAAATGTTGCTACACCAACTCCCTGGGGTCTCACACTTGACTTTTTTTTTTTAACCTGGATGAGACCACAAAGAATGAGATCAGTGCTATTGTGTTCCTGAGCCCAGTTGAGTGGAACTTCTCTGATAAAAGTGCAGCCCAGCTGGAACTTTCTAGATTGGTTTTCAAATGATATGCCCTCTGTGAAGCAGTATTTAAATATATATATATCTAATATTAGGAGTTTTGTCTTTTTGGCCAAAATCTATTCATTCGAGCTATGCCTTTATGTAGACTGACTTGCAGAATTCCACTCAGGTTTCTAAGGAGAACTATTTGGCAAGTATAAGCACAAGTTCTGACATTGTTTTATTGCACTTTCATGTGACTTTATTTTTTTATCCTTTTTATGGTGACACACTATAAGTGTTGTAGATGTGCTGATGCTTCTGCTGCAGAAGCTCACCTCCCAGGGGTGTCTCGTGGAGTGGGAGTGTGACTTAGCGCAGCCCACCTGCTGGAATTGCCAGCTGGAATCGTCATTGTGACCCTTGCCGAGCCGGAGAAAAGAGGCAGTGCCCGCGGAAGGGGGTCATCCCGAGAGGGCTGAGGAGCCGACGTGGCCATCCCAAACCGGCAGCTAGAGAAGAAACAGCCAGTCTTCTTGGATGTTGTTTCTCATGTTACAGTGCGTCCGTACTCTGTCCATGTCAATGTCCTCTCTGCCCACACGCCTAGAGGAAATCACGTATTTGTCATTTTCTATTGTATGAGTGTGGTGAACTGCTGAATAATGAGAAATTATTACTTGTGCCATTTCTGGTGTCTTTCTGTTTCGATTTGGGCTTTAACAGCACTGCTCACAGGTCTCAGCTCCATCAAGCAATGCACAGACAACGTTCAGAGGTTCTTCTTCTCCTCCTTGCTCTCTCCCGTGGGGTCTCCCCCACAGATTCCTTTAGTACCCCATTGCCAGAGGGGATGAGCCTGCTGCCCACCACCCAGCCTCCCGGCCCGCGAGAGACAAACACACGGACAGGGGTTCTGTCTAAGCAGTTCCGATTTATTGGGGAAATTCGATTTCTTATATAGGGTAAGGTATAGCCTCAGGCTAGGAACTTTGGGAATTCCAGGAGGGGAGAAACTAGGAGCCAATTACTAGGAGAATGACTGTGGAAGCCACCTCCCATAGACCAGGTATAGGTGAGCGAGATGGCCCTGGTCAATCAGTATTTCCTTGGAGCTGTGTGACTCCTGCCCTGGTTCATGCCCAGGGCTCTGTCCTTGGCTGCCATCTTGCCCTCCAGTGACCTGGATTATTAGTCGCCATCTTGTTGACTCAGTGACCTCTTTGCCCCTGAGCCCCACATCTCCCAGTGGTTCCTTATTCTCTCCATGTTGAGATGTCCTCTCTGCCCTGTCTACGGGCCTTTGCCTGGTGTGTGCAGCTGTGTAGGTCAGCACCGCCCAGGCTGTGCACTGTGGAAAGCTGGGCTTTGTTGTGTTGCAGCTTGCGCCAGGTGCCTCACGAATGCTTACTGTTACCTGACACCAGGCGTGTGGGTGAGAAGTGGCCAAGCTTAAGCAGTCATCCCATACAAATGGCATCTGAAAAGGCTTTTAAAATGTATTTTGTATATCACAAAAAAATCCACTTGTGATTAGTTGCATAGTTTGCTAGTATACAGCTGAATTTAGGAGAGTGTTCATGTGACACCTAAGACAGTGCTTCACTTTGACTTTTTTAAATTGTGGAAATTTAAGGGATTTTGCAGTAGATGATAGGTTACATCAATATATGTAACTGTGTGCATGACTTAAGACCCTGTAATGTCAAAAATGGGATCCTATTCTCCAGAATTAGACATACACTTAAAACACTTTTTAAAATCATTTTATTTGAAAGGCAAAGATCTCCTAAGCCCCTGTGACAAACACCGCCCAGAGAAGTGCCCTAATCATGTCAACTGCTCTTGTGCACCCACAGGTAAGAAAGATGATGTCTGATCTTGAAGCAGCCTGCAGTAACACAAAAGTATCTCTAGGTGGCGCATTCTGCTATGCGGCATGGTCCCTATTTTCAATGTCACACCTTCAGGCCTATACCCTTAGCTATAAGGTGTCTCCACTTAGTGATTCAGTCATAAACATAACTGGCACAAGGATAAGAATGCCTGATTTGCTCTGCAGTCTCTCCAATGAGATATGATAGGGATCAGATTATAGCAGGAAGGCTGCATGGACAGCACAGTTACATAGTTCACGTCTGGTGTCTGAAGCCAAAGTCTTCATCTAAATAGCCACAGTGGGCTGGCTAAGTGTGAAGACAGCCAATGTGAAGGCTAGCACCTGGTCAGCTTCTGCTGCTTTGCTCAAGCCCTGTCAATCCATCCCCCCCAGAAGTCTTAATGTATTTCTAGTCTTGTTGTGGATCAGCATCCCATTCCCTTCTTCAAGGCCTTTTTCCCTCTCTGTCGTATGTTGCCCTCTTTGTCTAGCCTAGGATTCAAGTTGTCTCTCTTTAAGATTTATTTATTTATTTATGTTGGAAAAGCAGATTTGCAGAGAGGAAGATCTGTCTACTGATTCACCTCCCCAAGTGGCTGCAATAGCTGGAGCTGAGCTGATCCAAAGCCAGGAACTCCCTCCAGGTCTCCCACATGGGTGCAGGGTCCCAGTGCTTTGGGCCATCCTCGACTGCTTTCCCAGGCCACAAGCAGGGAGCTGGATAGGAAGTGGAAGAGCTGGGACATGAACCAGCACCCATATGGAATCCTGGCATATGCAAGTCGAGTACTTTAGCCACTAGGTTACCACACCCTCAAGTTGTCTTTTAAGGTAAGTTTGTCTGTTTTTGCCACAAACACTAAATGATACCTTAAAGAGGTATCCCAGAGATTTGGGATGAGGATTTGTTTTCTAGCACAAGTCCTGGAAGATGCATCAGAGTGGTAACTGCTTTATTATTTGGGGGATCTACTTGCGTTTAACATTGGATCCCTTTTTCCAAGAAGGAAGTAATCAAGAGGAGAAAGGTAGGGATCTTGCCCTGTCCTGGAGCCCCATCAGCCCCTGCTGGGTGGAGATCCATCTGGAGGTTGAGCATCCCCTAGGCCCATATGTGAAAGGTTTGGGCTCCAAGGGTGGATGCAGGGTCTCCCCTACAGGTTCCTTTAGTACCCCGTTGCCGGAGGGGATGAGCCTGCTGCCCATCACCCAGCCTCCCAGCCCACAAAAGACAAACACACGGACAGGGGTTCTGTCCAAGCAGTTCTGATTTATTGGGGAAATTCAATTTCTTATATAGGGTGAGGATTAGCCTCAGGCTAGGAATTTTGGGAATTCCAGGAGGGGAGAAACTAGGAGCCAATTACTAGGAGAATGACTGTGGAAGCCACCTCCCATAGACCAGGTATAGGTGAGCGAGATGGCCCTGGTCAATCAGTATTTCCTTGGAGCTGTGTGACTCCTGCCCTGGTTCATGCCCAGGGCTCTGTCCTTGGCTGCCATCTTGCCCTCCAGTGACCTGGATTGTTAGTCGCCATCTTGTTGACCTCTTTACTCCTGAGCCCCAAGGTGGAAACATTCCTATTACGATGTCTGAAGTTGCGGAACCCAACCTAGTAACTGGGTTGAGTTAGGCTGGTAGAGTGAGGCCTTCAAGGTGAAATCCAGTTGGCATTATAAGGTCGCACCGAGACAGACACGCACCCTCTCTTGTCATGCTCTGCACCACCTCAGCCCTCTGCAAGAACACATCACCAGGAGTAGTGACAGCGAGGCCCCCTGATCGTGGAGTGTGACCCTCTAAAAGCAGGAGCTAAAACCAACCTCCCTTCCTGCCAAAGTAGCTTGCCTTAAGTATTTTTTTTTTCTGTAGTAATGAAAATGCTGTAACACTAGCTGGGGACCTTCTGTACCTCTTCATGTGAATCTCAAAACCACTCTGTGATGTGTTTTAAAGCCCTTTGTAGCTGAGGGAAGACAAAAGAAGCAGGGTACTGACACACATACACCTCAAGGGACAGAATCAGAATTTAAGCACTAATACGTCTGCTGCTGGGGCCCACGTGCTTCCTGTTTCCTCAAGGAAGGGGTCGATAACACATTCAAGAGATGACTGCATCTGTCAGTGTTCTGGCATCCAGCGACGTGTGCCTTGGAGCTCTGTAGGCTATGATCAGAGTAATGCTCCTGAAACTGGGGTGATGCACCAGGGCCACCTCCTAGCCTCCAATCATTACAAGTAAAACATTCGTGAGAAATACTTCAAAGTGCATTAGCAAAGTGAGGCAACCTTTAAACATGCAGGCAAAACTTAAGTGGAAGGATCAGATGCCAGGATGTCACCACAATGTCAAATCGCCATGCCATGTTTAACATGCTTCATTCTTGTTTTATCAACACACCTGACAGAGTCTGCAGGTGACACCCACCCACAGCCACACCAAGGAACACTGCTCTTCCATCCGCTGGTTCATTTCCAAATGGCTGCAACAGCCAGGGCTGAGCCAGGCCAAAGCCAGTAGCCAGGAATTTCATCTGGGTCTTGCAGATGCGTGGCAGCCACCTTCTGCTCCCTTGTCAGGTACATTAGCAGGGTGCTTGATCCAAAGCTGGGACTTGAACCCATGCTCATATGGGATGCCGGCATCGCAGATGGCAGCTTCACTGCACTGCACCACAACACTGGCCCTTTATTTAAGTTTTGTCTGTGACCACCTATTGTTTACAATGCATGTTGGCAATGAAACACCTTATACTTAGCTAGGTATAGATAAATTATCATGGCACAATGATTTGGGAGAGTGAAACAGAATTATGAAAAAAAGTACAAAGAGGCAGGCCCTCCCTGGGAAAGCATTCTTGCGAGCCTCAGCTCTGCCACACTACACAGTGGCAAAGCATTATGACATGAGCGTTGGCTGTCACGTATTTCACTCAGACATCAGAACATGGACAGCAGGGGAGGGGTTCTGTGTATCGGGGAGACTAAGGCACACAGCGTGCTCCTCACCCAGCAGGCTGAGGCCTCCGGGGTGCTGCCCTGCGGAAGTGGGTCTGAGTGAGCTGTGTGAGGGCCCCACATCCTAAACGGCAAGCATCCAGTTCTTTCCTTCCTGTAAGCTCGTCCTTTCAGAAATTACCTTCCAACTTGAAAAACTTCCCTTTCCTCTTCTGTCCCTCTTGTGTTCTGCCCCCGTCCAGATGCCAGCTTCTTTGCCACTTCAAAGGCACACTCTCACACACACATTTTCTATCTGCTGGTTCACCTCCCAAAATGGTGCCAGAGCTGAGCCAGGCCAGAGCCAGGAGATCATGGTTTTCCCTTGTGGCGGCAGGAGCCCAAGCACTCAGGCCGTCCTCTGCTGTCTTCCCAGGCACATTTGGAACTGGATGGGAAGTGAGGCAGCCAGGACATATGGAGTAGCAGTGCCCATAAGAGATGCTGGCACTGCAGTTGGCACTGTTTGTTATGCCACAGTGCTGGCTCCAAGGCCAGGCGTTCTTCAAGCTTTGCTGCAAGTACACGAGTGAAGCCTGAGAATTGCCTTAGAAACCGAGTTTTCTCCCCAAGAAGTGGTGGCACAAATATGCGTCATCTTCAGAACATGACATCACCCTAAAGATGGGGAAGCAGGCTCAGGGATCTCTAGAGGTGATCTCTCTACCCAGGCTGTCAGCCAGGAGCCCACAGGTGGGTGGCTGGAATCAGAAATTGAATTCCTGAGACACACTAGCCACGTGCCTAGTGTGTGGCTGTTTCCTGTGGCTCAGGACACCCACGCTCTGCGCAGAGGACATCCCGGCTGCCCAGTGAGCCGTGCTGTACTGCATGCCTACCGCCCTCCCAAACTCCAGGTTCTCTCTGCAGAGTTGTCAAACCCCCCAACTCACCTGCAGAGTGAAGTAGCTGGAGTTTGAAGGTGCTGATAATATAATAATATTCTGATAATAATATGCAGAAATTCTAGATGGACATCAAACCACATGTGTCTCAGACACGGATGGTCATAGTTTGGGTCATGGCTTGCTTTGTGGTTTGCTCTGGCACAGCGAAAGCAGGGATAGCTTTGTGGCATCAGGAAAGGTGTTGGGATGACCAGCGCATGGGTATGGAAGGATCTGCATTTGGATCCTGCCTTTGTGACTTAGTTTCTACTAGGTAAGCTCTGTCAGTTCCCAAATCCTCTTACTTGAACAGGGGACAGTGACATGTACCAGGAGGGTCTTGGTAAGAGGATCGTCTCAGTGTGTGGTAAACATGTAATGGCCATGCCTGTGAGTCTCCTTCCCCAGGCTCAGTGCCTATCTGCTGAAAGGAACGCGGGTTAATTGCTGCCCCCAGCCCACCTGCAATGCCAGAAAGACCTGCCTATCCCAGAGCAGTTTTCATCAGCTGTTGGTGTCATGCGGCCACTAGCAAGACCTTAAGCCAGAGAAGTGGCATTGTCTTTCCTAGGAACTTGACAGACTTTCTATGAGGCTTCCCTCCTACTGAAGGCTGTCTATATGATAACTGTCCTTATGGCTTTGGGGGATGGTCACCTGCAGTCCTAGGGCATTTCCAGGGGCTTGACAAGGGCTGTTATATGCTCAAAATGCAATCTGCATTCACTTTAGTGCTTTTTAAGGTGGCATGTGGCACCACCAGGACAGAAAGAAAACAGGTGCAGTGTTCACAAACCCTGAAGGGTCAACCAGCAAGGCCAGGAGTCCAGCGTGCCCGAGTCCACGCTGGCAGGCAGTGTTCCCCACCAGAGGCAGCCTGAGTGGGGCTCTCATAGAGACAATGACTTGATTTGGTCACATCTTACTCAGTGAAGAAATATTTAAAAATGGTCTTTTTATTTCCACATGTCAACTGTGCATTTCCCAAACAGCAGGCTTTTTGGAGGAATGAATCAGAACTGTAAACACAGGAAACAATGTAAGTGTCTGACTTCCAGCAGTCAGGTGCACAAATCCACAGGCTACATTCACGGGTGAGAGTCCGCCTGTCACCCACTCCTTTACTTCCATCATTACGCAAGCATAATAAATAGATCTAAATTTAAAGGTCACTTAAAATGAATCATGATAATTTACAGTACAGTACATTTCAGTTCAAGTGCAAAAATAACTATTTGCTTAGTTCTGTTTCTTCCACCTACATTTTAAGCTGTGGCTTGTGGTGAAGTGAGATATGCTTGTGTAGCATTTCTTTCTCCCAGGTGCAGTCTCAGGCAGAACTGAAGTGTCATGGAGAACCCCCGTCTACACGGACCCTGTGTGACCAAGGTCACAGGGTAAGGGGAGGCACCCATCTAGAACTCCCGGTCTTTGCTTCCTGCCCTGGCCTCGTCCACCACTATTGGACACAATAAAACCGATCTTCCTTCAGCTATAGCAGCCTTCCTGTTCCACAGCGCTTCCTGTCCACCTCCGCTGCCATGTTCAGCGACAGCAAGCTTTCTCGTGGCGCCCCTGGCATTGCTCCAGCTGTACTCGCCAACTGCACAGTTGCATTTCCGTGTTCACTGTCCAGCGTCTGACCAACTGTGTCTTGGAAAAGAGCATGCTGAGATTTTTTTCATCCTGGCAAAGAACTTCCTACCCCTAATCTTCCCATGCTGGTTTCCTCTTTGCCACCTCCCCAGAAACAAAACCAAACCGACCCCTTGTGTCATTTTTAAAAACAGTATCCCTCCCCCAGGCACTTAAATCGTATACTGTTAATTGTCTGCAGTACTGCTTCCTTATACGAACCCCTGGGAATTCAGTCATTTGTTTTTATTCCCATTAGCTAATTAGAGCCCAGATACTACAAATAGCAAATAGGGAGCTATTTACAGTATCAACATGTGATGTAAACCCTTGCCTGTCAAGCCACATGATACTGATTGGTTGATGTATTTTTTTTTAATAGTCCCTCATTTCTGGTCATTTCAAAGCCCATTTAAAACAAAAGGCATCTTAAAGCTCAGCTAAGCTGGCAGTAGCCACTCATGGCTTCCACTGCTCAAGAAATCGACTGCTTCAATGTATATCACACACATAGAAAAATACATTTACTAGGGAGATGCAAAGTCTCTGATGAAACAACTTCTTAAACAAAAGCGTATGTTTTATGTAACTTGTATCTGGTTATTTTTTAAATCTTTTTTTTTAAATGGTTTACTTGAAGGAAAAACAAAATTACAGATCTATAGTGTTTCTTCCCTGTTTGCATCAAGAACCAAATCAGAAGATAGAAATTAAATCAGCCATCCCCGTGACACACCTTAGCTCCCTACCACTGGCTGGCTGCTGGCTTCTGCCCTCGGGGTCTTGGAGAGAGGCCCTCAACCAGCCAACCCCAGCCAACCAATTCCAGTCCTCACTGCACCCCAGCACACTGGGGCAGTTTGTACTGCAGCTCCTGAGGGCTGAAGTTCCCGCATGAAGCAGTTTAGCTGATTTAGAAGCATGTGTGGTGCTGTGTGTCCGGTGCAGGTGGGATGGATAGTTAGGTGTGTCCTAGGTTGGGAGGCTCCCTACCCTACCCTGGTGGAGCCCCATTCCATGCAGGACACTGGTCGAGCAGGGTCCTCATGGTCCCCCCTGGCTGGGCTGAGCTTGAGGCTCCTGACCCTCAGCTGCACGCGGGCCCAAGCTGAGGTGAGCAGGGCTGGTCTGCTTCAGAGATGCTGCTGCTGCGTCAGGTGGAGGCTGCCTTCCTGATGGGTGGGAGGGAGGCTCACGGGGTGCAGGCTGGGCTCCACCTGTTGTCGAGTTTTCCCGATGCTCACTGGTCTCCTGAAGGGAAATAAGCAGGAGATACCTACGGGTCAGTGATAGCCAAGAAATCTACTCCTTCGAATGTTCTTAAATAAGACACGGGACACATGGGGAGATCATCCTACAGGGCCCATTCCAGGGACCAGGCAATGGAGGAAAAAGGACAGAATGTCTTACCTTTCAACTCCTTTCCTATGTGCAACTGCCAGAGCCGCATGGAAAACACAAACACTATAAGCAGACGGATTTTGTTCATAAAGGAACATTATTACCAAAATGCCACTCGCTCCTGCGTGCACAACTGACATTGTGCAAGTTTGTACCGAGCAGCCCCAGCCATGCAACCAGAGACCACTTGGGAAGGAAGGCCATGGCTATCAAGGGCCAGAGGACATTTCGTCTAAGTAAATGAGAGATTTCAGACTTAGAGACAGAGGCAGGAAGGGAGTGAAGTATACTCAGAGTCCTCATGTCCACCTGGGATTCCAAGATAAGTATAAGGAGGTAAAAAGACCCAGAAGACCCAAGTAAAAAGGGCAGTGCAGACTAGCAGTGGCCGCTCAGTCACCCACTCCCAGTCGCTCACCTACAGTGATTCCTATGAGATGCCACATGGCATTTCTCCATCAGTACCTGAGCATCCTCCCTACCACCTCCCCTAAAGTTACTCAAGAAAACGCACCACCTTGCCTGGTTTACTGACCTTATAATGTGGGAAAGGCAATGCTATGTTACCCTGACAGGTGTCTGTGAGTAAGGATGAGGTGGCAAAGTGACGCACGCGCGCCATCCTACCTCTTTGTCACCAAAGGCGCTGCCGCCTCTGTGCATTCCCACCCAGGTTGGTCGCTCAGCTGGGTGGAGGACCCATGGGAGATGATGGGTACACAGGCACCAGTGCACACATGGCTCCCAGGGGAGAATGAGATTTGGTTCAAATGATAAAGATTTTGTGTTCATTTATAAAAATAAACTAAGGTAATGCTACACACTTTCTAAAAGGGAAATGACCCAAATCACTTTTTATTTTTCAGTCCTCTTCCCTTTTTCCCTGTGTCACCTTTGAAGCCATTCTAAATATAGACATGACTGTGACTCATAAACTCATAGATAGGGGGAAGTGGAATTATGACTTTGGCCACACTATTCATACAAGTCATACTCAACTTCCAAAGTCATACTACAGCTTTGGAAATAGGATACTGTTTGGACACCAGGACGTGACCTTACTTAGGAGGAACCATTCCTGTAGGCCAGGGGTGGGAAGTGTCTGAGAAATCATTTGGTCTGCTGCTGCCAGAGCAACTGCAAGCAGGACTGGAAATTCTGCAACAAACAGCAGGCTAATTAAGTTGATGATTCTGCATAGTCCACAAATGATGTTATAAATAGCCAAGTGGCCTGTGTAGAAAAGATTCCCACTCCCTAGTCTAAGGGACAAGAACAATCGCACTTATTTTTAAGGTGAGGCCACCTGCAAAGTCATACTTGCACTGAGCCGGTGCCCTATCAGGAGCATGCTAGGGCTCCGGATGGTTAATGCATTCAGCCAACAGCTCTGCTGGGCCGGTTTTATATAATGCTCCCGCTACAACTTCAGGATTACAGGAATTCATAAATAATGGCCCCCAGAGGCAAGAACCACATCTTCTCAGTGCCACCAGTATCATTCACAGTGAAATTTCAAGGAAACACACAAGATCAGCGTGGACATCATTACGCTCTCTCTTTCAGCAATGCCATCTCCTCTGCAAAGCCTGCCTGAACTCCAGATGGGGCAGAGGCTTCCCGCTCTGGGAAACAGACATCTTTAACGCCATTACCACAAAGCACTGACGTGGTTTTTTGGTGCACCTATTTCTCCCGATGGGCTTTCAAGTAACTCTTGCTGAAGCACAAATGGGTAATTCAGACACATGAGCTCACTGAGTGAGTCTTCACTGACAGGTGCCACGCCAGCCCAGCAGAAGGACCTTACCTGCAGTGGCTGTATCTCAGATGCCCGGCTGTCTCTTGTTAGCTGCATCATCTCTTTGATCTGGTAGAGAGCGTAGACAAAGGTCACCCAGGGAGAAGAGCTGACCCCCCAGGCCGGCTTGTTCACATCCTCCTGCTCTTCCTGGTGCTTGGTTTTCTTGGGCGGAAGTCTGGCCTCAATGCGTGGCATGACATCTTCTGTCTGTTGTTGTACCAAGTCGATGGTTGCTATGGGAACAGGACTGGAGGGAACAGGAATCCTTTCTGCCAACATTGTCTTGTCTGGGAAGGAAATATTTAAATCATTTTTCAGAATTTTCTATGTATTTAAAAACAGAATTTAAAAATGTCAGCTAAATAACCCTATCATCCCATAAGTCCATCCCAGTATGTTTAGCAGCAGTAAGAAGCTGTGGTTTATCTAGGAATTCCTGACTTGGTGCAAGTCTTGAGTAAATCATCATGCTGTTTATTTTTTAATGTCCCTTCTGGTATCTAACAGGCATTAACGTGCATACTTAAAAAATCTATTTATCAGGCCCAGCGTGATAGCCTAGTGGGTAAAGTCCTTGTGTTGCATGTGTCAGGATCCCATACAGATGCTGGTTCATGTCCCGGCTTCTCCACTTCCCTTCCAGCTAGCAGCTGAGGACGGCCCAAAGCCTTGGGACCCTGCACCCAAGGGGGAGACCTGGAAGAAGCTCTTGGGTTTGGATTGACTCAGCTCTGGCTAATGTGGCCACTTGGGGAGTGAATCAACAGATGGAAGATCTTTCTGTCTCTCCTTACTGTAAATCTGACTTTCCAATAAAAATGAAATAAATCTTTAAAAAAAAAAAAGAAATCCTTCACTGATCTTACAATGAATGCCACCGCAAATGAGATTACAGTGATTGTGGCCTGAAGCCCCTTTCCAGGCCTGCAAGTTTACAGACAAGCATCCAAGCAGGGAAAGCACATGGTGGCTACTGCTCACTAGTCCGGCCAGGTGGGCCTGTTGTCCTGGGGCCATCTCTGAGTTTCTGAGGGCCATAAGTGGGGCTCCCGTGGCTTAACAATTAGAAGCACTGAGAAAGAATGGGCTGTTTACCTTCTTCTTCATCTGGCACTGCCAACCACTGGATCAGGGCGAAGAGCAGGAGGATCACCAGGCAGGCCATGCCAATCCCGCGAAAGGTGGCCGCAGCCCCTGTGAAGAACAACGAAGTGCTCTGTAAGCATGCTCACAGTCCCATCCCAAAGCCAGCGCTCCAAAGCCAGGGAAGCCCAGCACGGCGTGACTGAAGGAAAGCACCTGGCCGTCAGCTGCTCTCCGGAACAGGAAGACACAGCATTCCCAGTGCTGCTGTCAACTCACCCTGTCCAGCTAGAGAACACGCTTCTAAAGGCTTGTCTCCACGCAGCTTTCAGCAGAACACACATCTTCAGTGGTGTGTGCTCATTCCTCCAAATGAGCCCACCGACCCCTGACCACCCACCAGCCCTGTTCCCTGTTAATCTGTAGCTGGCACAGCATAGCTCCCACTGGGGTAGAAATTCCCGCACTCCTGGGCCCATGCTACACATATGACTGAGCTATCGAGGTCCCTGCAGCAGGATAAGCCCACGGGTACCCCAGCACCTCTGTTTCCAATAAAGTACATCTGACAAGGCACACAGTCTTATCACAGATCTCATGACATGACCAAAACCAGTACAGTTAAATTATCCTGGTTCTAAATCTCCAAATGGAGTAACAACGGATTCTTGTTCCCTTGACATTAACTTCAGCAGAGTTAGGGTGCTTTACTTCGAACTCAGTGCACTTGCACTCACTTCCGGCTTTGCTCTGCCAAAGTTATCTGTGCGGGCCCTTGTCACACTGCTTGTCAGGAACATGCACGGGTACAGGCCAACCTGAATCATCTTACCAACAAAGCGCACTGCTTCCCAGCTGTGGCTGTCGGCCACGCTGAGAGAGAGCAGGCACATTGGAGGTCCGCTGCAGGCAGTCTTCTGCAGGGATGTGGGTGCTTACGAAAGTGTGCCTGAGAAACCTTATTCACATCCAAACCAAGACAGAACGCTTTCTTACCGAAGTAATTGACTAGCACACCACCGATCATGGCACCGCAGCCTCTGCCCAGGCCCAGGTGGAGGCCCTGCAGGATGCCCTGGGCAGATGTCCTCAGCTCCGGGGGCACAGCCGCACTGAGGTAGGAGATGCACGCTGCCCAGATGGCTGCATGCGTCACTCCTAGAAGGGGAGAGTGAATGATCATGCTGTCAGTACTGCTTGCAGTGCTGTTCTGAAACGCGCATTGTATTTTTTCAAAGATGGTAAATGGAGGAAAGCTACACGACAGACCAGTGACCACTTTAGCCTTTTTTTTTTTCTTTCAAAGGACTTATTAATTTGAGGGGCAGAGTTACACAGGAAAGAGAAGCAACAGACTGAGAGTTTCTGTCTGCTGCCTCACTCCCTTGATAGTCTGAACGGCCTAGGCTGAGCTGGCTGGGAGACAAAGCCAAGAGGCAGGAGCTTCACCCAGGTCTCCCAGGTGGGTTCAGGGCCCCAAGCACAGAGCCCATTTGTGCTACTTTTCCTAGATGTTAACAGGGAGCTTGCCTGCAAGTGGAGCAGCCAGACCATGAGCAGGACTGCTCACTATGGAAAGCCAGCCTCACAGGCATTAGCTTTGCCAGCTATGACACAACGCCAGCCTCATTTTAACCAGTTTTAAGTCTACAATTCAGTGGTGTTATGTATATTTACCTCACCCTGTGACCATGAGCACCTTCCATTTGGAACTTCCTGGTTGCAAACAAAAACTCTCACCCGCTGAAGAGCAACTACCATTGACCTCTGACCCCTGTCTTTGGTAACCACTGTTCTACTTTTTCATGTCTGTAAGTTTGACTACTCTGGGTAATTCATATAAGTGGAATTATGCAGTGTGGTTTATTACACTTGGCATTATGTTTTCAAAGTTCTTTGATGATGCCGTGTATGTCAGAACTCCTTCCTTTGTAAGGCTGCACACTATTCCGTCATAAGCATGTTCCACATTTTGCTCAACTACTCCTGCACTGTTGGATAATCTGCATTGCTTCTGACTAAACAGACAATACTGCTAAAACACTGGTGTGCAAACATCAGCTTGAATCCCCGATTCCAATTCTTTTGGGTATAAACTGCTTTAAGTGGAATTCTTTGTTCAATATTTAGATTTAAAAGTAAATTATTTTACAGAACCAAGATGGCGGAATAGGGTAAGGACATGTTTAAATGGACGGAAAAACATTTAATCAGGATGAAGCAGAGAGGACAAATTCCAGGAAATAGGAGAGGACAGAACAACAGCAGAGGGGTTCCTGGAGACTGACAGACACAGGAAAGCAGCTAACACAATGGTGTGGTGTTGCAGTGACTGATACTCCAGCAGCATTCAGCTAACGGCAATCTGAACTCCACCAGCAGCCAGAACTCCACCAGCAACCAGGTGGGAAGGGACTTTCACTGGGAGCTTGGGAGGTGAACCCAGACAAAAAAACGACTGTTCTGCTGGTCCGTTTAATTTGACCAGGAGCAGAGACAGAGCAGCAGATCCCAGATGGGCAGTGCAAGAACAGGGTGGAATTCACAGCCCAGTCTGCCCTCTAGAGCCGAATTGGGTGCCATTTTGCATAAGGAGGCAAAGGCAAGGAAAAGGGACTGAGCATATGCTGACATACGCTGAGCTGAGAGTGAACTCATTTCTGACTCAATGAACTGCAGCAACGTGGCACTCTACAGGTTCCACCCTGGGCAGATCTCGGTAGCCCTCAGACCTGATGGACAGTAGATCAAGAACTCTAGTAGTGGCACGTCAGGCGACATTTTGTACACTGTGGCAATAGCCTTGGGACTGCAGCGGACAACAGTGAACTGTGCATGTGTTGAGCTCGCTAGAACTCACTGAATTCATTGGATTACACTGGTCCCACAGGAAAATAATACTGACTGGGACATCGTATGGGTCAAAATAGGTCCATGTGGCACTCAGACCTAACGTCCAATAGGTTTTGGCAAGATCAGCACCACCAACAACCTAGCTACATAGGACACCCGGTACCTTCCTAATCCTGGGACCTGCTCTAACCAGAAGTGGGAGAGAGGTTGTACAGACAACGGTGCAGCCTCAGCATGGTAACACAGGAGGTGGAGAGTGGTGAGCCAGGAGTTGTGGCTACAGAGTTCTTTGTGGAAATGTAACATAAGAATCCAGACCTGGAACTCCCTGGAGGGAGTGGCACAATTGGCTGCAAGCAAAGAATTGTGTACCAACTGCAATAAATAAAATCAAACTGTTGACCTGTGGGTGACACAGCTTAGAAACCTGCCCCAAGGAGAATAATCTGCTAACCAGAAGTACAATGACCAAGAGCAAAAGAAGAGACAATGACGATTAGGAGGCTAATATAAGAAGGCTCAATGAATATTACTGAAAACTCCCCTGCAAAGGAGCAAAACCCCATGCCAATCTCAGAGTTAACTGAGGAAGACATGGAGAAAATAGGGGACACAGAATTCAGAAAACTCATTTTAAAGCTTCTGATCAACAATGAGAAGCACATACAAGAGTTCAAAGAATTTAAGGAATATTTTACACAAGCAATAGCAGCAATAAAGCAAATCAAGGTTGATATATCAGAAATTAAGAACACAGTAGAGCAAATTAAAAGTACAGTGGACAGTCTCCAAAACAGAATGAAACAAGCAGAAGAAAGAATCTCAGAATTGGAAGATATTTCCTGTCATCGGGGGAAGCAAACAAAAAGCTGGAAGCAGAGCTGGATCAGGCCAAAAATGTATTAAAGAATTGAAAGACACTATGAAGAGGCCTAATATAAGAGTTATGGGAGTCCCAGAAAGTGCAGAAAGAGAAACTGGTTTTACAAATATATTTAATGAAATACTAAAGGAAAATTTCCCTAATCTAGAGAAAAAATTGGGAAAACAACATCCAGGAGGGGCAAAAAACTCCCAACAGGCCTGATCAAAAGCAATCTTCACCAAGACACATGATCATCAAGCTCTCTTCAATCGAACATAAGGAAAAGATCCTTAAATGTGCACGTGAAAAAAAAAAAATCAATTGACATATAAAGGAATGCCAATTAGGCTCACAGGTGATCTCTCACAGAAACTCTACAGGCAAGAAGAGAAAAGAGTGACATATTCCAGATTCTAAAAGAAAAAAAAATTGTCAGCCTAGGATAATGTATCCAGCAAAACTTTCCTTTGAAAATGGAATAAAATTCTTTCACAGTAAAGAAAAGTTAAAAGAATTTGCCTCTTCCAAACCTGCCCTACAAATGATACTTCAAGATGTTCTCTTGACAGAGAAGAGGAATAGCACCAAACAAAACCAAGGGCAAATATGAAGAACATGCCAATAAAATAAAGTACTACCCATAGATATTAACCCTGAATGTAAATGGTTTAAGCTGAATCAAATGTACATAGATTAGTAGACTGGATTAAAAAACAAAACCCATCTATTTGTTGTCTAGAAGAGACACATTTCACCAACAAAAATCAGTGGAAACTATATTGCATGGGTTTTGATGTTTTCTGTTAGTTTCATCTTTTCAAAACACTTTCTTCTGATTAAATCATTCAATGACTCGTAGATCATGCAGTGGCATCATTTTCTTCAAGAAGGTTCTTGATTTTCATTTCTTCAGCTACACATTAGTCATTTAATAGCATGTTATTTAACTTCTTGGTGTTGTTAATTTCTTTTTTCTTCTTGATGTTGATTTTGTTTTGTGGCTTTTCATTTAAGGGGATGTATAGTAGCTGTGTAATGGAGACTGTCATATCTAGTAAGATGTTATTTAACTTCATGGCATTGTAAATTTCTATTTTTCTTTCTATTGTTGATTTTGTGTTATAACTTTTCATTTGAGGGGAGTTACAGTGGCTGTGAAACGGAGACCAATATAACCAGATGTGAGAATACAATGTAGTATGCATTCTACTTCCAAAGATGGGACTTACAATGAAACTGTTTACAATATCTTGACAATAGGATGCTGGACTCTCTGCCATTGACCATACCCGCAATGATGGCCATATGACTGTGTATGAAGAACTATACTATAGTAATGATACAGAGAAACTAGGTGGGGGGGGGTGATTGGGGGTAGGATAAAGGAAATACCAGGAGCCTATGGAACTGTATCATAAAATAATAATAATGATAATAATAAAATTTAAAAAAATTTTAAATAAAATCAGATTGATGAAAAAAAGTAAATTATTTTACCTGAAAGGCAGTGAGGGGAGTAGGAGGTATACAGGGAGGGAAAGGAAGGAGAGAGAGGCTGGGATGGGATGGGATACAATGAGCTGGGGTGGTATGAGGTGAGATGAGGTAAGGTGATGAAATATGAGATATGAAATATATCTTCTATCCACCACTTTACTTTCCAAATGCTTATCATAGGTAGGGCCAGGCAAGGCTGGAGCCAGGAGACAGGAAGTGGATCAGCATCTCACATAGAAGTGACACAGGCCCAAGTATTTGAGTCATCCTGCTGTTTCAGAGCGTACCTCTGCAGGGAACTAGATCAGAAGCAGAGCAGCTGGGAACCGAATCAGGCACTATAGAACGGGGTACAGGCTTCCCAAGCAGTGAGTTCATCACTGTACAAACACCCCACCCCTGGCTGTTTTAAGACTTTATTTTTATTTGAAAGGTAGATTTACACAGAGAGAAGGAGAGAGAGAGGAAGAGATCTTTCATCTGCTGGTTCACTTCCCAAATGGCCATAATGACTGGAACTGGGCCAATTAGAAGTCAAGAACCAGGATCTTCTTCCAAGTCTCCCACTTGGGAGTAGGGTCCCAAGGCACTTGGACCAACCTCCACTGCTTCCCTAGGTCATAAGCAGGGATCTGGATGGGAAGTGGAGCAGCCAGACTTGACCTGGTGCCCATGTGGGATTCCAGTGTCAGAAGCAGAAGGTTACACCACTACACCATAGCGCTGGTCCCTACCCTGTTTTTTTTTTTTTAAAAAAAAAGATTTATTTTTATTATTTTCTTATTGGAAAGGCAGATATACAGAGAGGAGAGAGAGAGAGGAAGATCTTCCGTCCGATCATTCACTCCCCAAGTGAGCCGCAACGGCTGATGCTATGCCGATCCGAAGCCAGGAGACTCTTCTGGGTCTCCCACTTGGGCGCAGGGTCCCAAAGCCTTGGGCC